CTGGATCAGCAATGTGAGTACCTGAATATCGTATTGTCTACAATAAAGCAGTCTATACTAATGTACCTCATGTGTGAGAGCTTTAACTAGGTTGGTAAACCTCCAGGCCTGGAACTACTGTATAGTGCTTTGAATTTGAAATGTAGTGTCTTTATTTAGTCCTTCCAGCTGTACTAAATCTTTTTCTTCATATTATTTGTGTCCTTTTCCATTGTTGACACTTTTTGAAGTTATAGTACTTATATATTGTTAAGACACCTTGTTGATATATCTTTCTTCTCCTAGACCATCACCTATAATTAAATGATCCCGGGCTGCTTGTGTGAACCTTGTTTCTGGCTCTGGAACAAAGTGGACACTGCCCTCCTGCAAGAATACGTAACAGATGTACTGTATAGCTTTATTGGCAAACTCAATAAAGGGTTTTCATTATCTTCATTTCACCTCACTGCATCTTAGCCATTCTGTTTCAATACATTGTAAATGATAAAGAAGATAAATGCAGAAATAATCACATCAGGATTGATAGATTAAAGCAACATAATGATGAGAAGACTAATAATTACAGAAGTACAGTATATGTCTCAAAACTGTTGCCTTGGATGTGGCCATCTTTTGCTCCATTGATTGGATCACTCCACTTAGACCTTGTAATCTCTAATTATTGTAAGAAAAAAAGTTACCTACTTTATAAAGTAATACAAAAGTATATTCAGGGCAAGGAGAAATGACGACAAATACCCATAAGAGAGAATCAAAAACATTTTGTAATCCAAGAATAATAATTAAACACCAAATACTGTGTATACTTAAAAATAAGAAGTACAATAAATTACAAATTTGAGATAATTACTCTTCAATACATTTATAAATACAGTACTGTAGATTCCACTGTACTGTTCAGTATTTAAACATAAATTAAAATAGACAATATGTAATAAAAACAATAAAATCACGAACGTGCTTCCCTGACATGATTCCAAAACCAGCTCCTCACAGTGTTTAACAAAAAAAATGCAAGATGATATGCAGAGGCATACTGTATGTGCTTGAAAACAAAGCGAGACTGAAGCATTAAATGTAGCCTTAGTGGAAGCTGGTGGTAACCACTTTACTTTACACAATTTGTCCACAAATCCCATAGGATTTGTACTGTACTGCATATATAGAAGGTACATAGAATGTACATAAAATCAAATTTACATAGATCGAATCTGACTATATCTGACCTGGGGAAGGGATGTATAGTATAGAGATTAATGATAATTTCACTTTAGTCAGGGAAATATCAAGTCTTACATGAGGTGTGATGTCTTTATTCTCCTACACAGCTTGATAACCAGGTGGAAAACTTAATAAGACAGGACAAACGTTTACTGCAAAACATAACACAAAATACACAATGTTTACATCTACATAAATATACATTGAAACCTCAATGTTCGAAAGTTCTACATCGACAAGTTCGCCTATTTGTGCAAAGCTGTTTCTCACCACTTTAGCCACATTTACAGACCAAAATGTACATGATGGCATCCACCTCGTTTAACAAAGAGAGAACACGTTTATGTAGCAGCGCATCCTGGGTTAAGCTTTGTTCAGTTTCTATCAGGAATTTCCTTTGATGTAAATGATGGGTAGACTTGTTAGGAGAACAATGCCTGTATGTAAGTGTCATGCAGTGAAATAAAAAGTGTGAGAAAAATTTCAGTGGTGCCTTAAGTTATCATAGCCTGCATTCTCAATGAAAAGAATAAAAAATGAAAAGGATAACAAAAGACATATTCACTTGTGCAATGCTGTACACTTGATTTACTTTTGTCTGTTACTACTGTGCTGTAACAAACTTTATTATGGTACAGCAGTCCTGCATTTATAATAGTAATAAAAAAACTGAAAATGCACTCTGCTAAGAAAACCAAAACTGCTAATACTGTACCAGTAATTTATTTGTTCACACACACAATAACTTGCATACTTTTTTAAGGTACCTAACCCTCGTAAATACAGAGGTTTTGCTTTATTTACAAAATATTTACAAATCTGTGAATTATCAGAACATCAATAAACATCTTAAGAACTGGTGCACTGCTGGGTCTGGCTATTGAACATGTGTAGAACGAGCTTGGATGTGTCCTCCAGAACTCAGAGACCAGTGAACCAGGCTCTGCAAGAGGAAAATCCCACAAGACAGTATCTGCAATCTGGTGCAAAGCAGGTTTTGCAGATGTGTAGCTTGTTGTGTTTGCAGCATTCACAAGGCCACAAGCCTGTGACGATTACAGTAGATGCCCTGTTGATGAATAATGTTAATCAACATAATGAATCCTCCTGTCTTGCCTGTTCATTAAAATCTCAGGGCACCTGCAATGCAAAATATTTTTTAAAATGTTCACGATAATTTTCATAATAATAGCTGTACTAAGCAGATAACGTGGCTCTGGAATGCTAAATACAAGGAAGTGTTCTCTAATTTAGTTTTTTTGGTTCTGTATTGGGCGGCGCAGTTGTTAAAGGTGTGGCCTCACTAGTGGGGCCTTGAGTTCGATTCTTGACCTGGGGTGCCATCTGGGTGCACTTTGCATATCCCCCTATATTTGCATGTCTGCTCTCTTCCTCTCCCTCTTCTGTTGTCTAAATGTGATTTTGTATGGGTGTGTTTCTGGATTTTTCATTGACAATCACTGACCCACAACTTAATTAACTAGGTAAACCGAGGTAAATTTTACAACTGTTTTCATATCTCAGCAAACATCCCTCTGCTTTGAAGCAGGAAATGTTCACACTGCCAGCTGTTGCACAGCTTATCGAAACTCTGCAGCAAAATAATTATTGTATCACCATAAATTGGTCTTACGAAGCAGACACAGCAGGGTGATTGTAAGGAAGCACTCATGCTTAGGCTATGTGTTAAACACAATGTCAGATGTTTTGTGGCCTGTTTCTCTAGTGAAGATGCTACTGAGCACGTCCACTTCTGAGAAATATGAATACAAAAATCTGACTATAAAAAAATTATTCGTGGTTTGGTAATTGGGTCGTTTTGTGAAGAGAGAACTAGCAACTGTGTATGTGTATGCGTCGGAAACCGAGGTTTGAAAACAAATTAGTTTTACTTTCATTTCACACTGAGGCAACGAAAAACGCATACACAAACTACTGCAGGAATCCACAAAACAGACTTTTTGCTAATTCAGTTTTACCGGTTTTATTTGTCCAAAACATAGAAGGAATTAAAAGGACTAACCATGACTGAAAAGCCCCTCTTCACTTGCTATGAGAAATCATTAGCACGAAAGTGTGCTTGAGAAAGAATTTCTGTATCCCCTATTCTGCAATATTTAAAGTTGATACGAAAGCCCGTATTTATCAAGTCAGTGGTGTACCATTTTGTGTTTCCAGCTTCATTTCCACTTCTTACCACACAGAATCCGAAACTACCTCTTTGTAAGTCAATGAATTCTATACAGAGTTTGTCTGTGGACTTGTCATCTAATTGTTTTTTTTGCCACAAATTGCACACTGTCACACAGTGTGGCTCATACGTCTGAGAGTTCCTCATGTCATTTGTGGAAGAGAGCAATTTTTATTTAGGTGGACATAAATTCCCAGAAGTTTCAGAGGACATGGGCAATCTGTATGGTTACAGCTATAGATGACTAGGAAGTGTCTCTTCGAGTGCAGATAAAGTGCGTGACACCTGACACTTCCAGCTTCAAAGCAGAGGGGATATTTGCCGAGATGAGGGAGGTGCCAAGATCAAAAACTGCTGTTAAGTTTCCCTTGGTTTTTTTAGTTTCTTTGAAGTTCATTAAGTTGTGGGTAAATGCCTGATGATGAGCAGTCCATAAACACACCACCTGAAATCACATTTAGACAACAGAAGAGAATTGCGTGCTGTATGTTTTGTTGTATGTAGTGTAGTGTTTGTATTGTCATCGTTAATAAACATTTGTTTAACCAAGTGTGTCTGGAGTATGACTCTTATCACCAATGCTGTGCCAGAGAATAAAGAATTAATGTGCCTCTTAATTATACCAACCAATCTAGAGAAATTCTGTTCTAGAGAAATCACTTACAAAGTGTGGGTAATTAATAATTATTTTACTTATTGACGAAACCGCTCGGTCAATTCCTGAAATTCATAATTTTTGGAAACCCCCATTTGTAACACCATATTAAAACACTGTTTCAATATGTACTGTATATGCATTTTAAATTCATGTGCCATAAGGAATTTCTTTGGCAGTAATCTTAATGTTCCTCCATTACAGCAAGGATTTATTTCAGTGCCCATGTACACATACAGTACAGTGTTTGGGGCACTGTTGTTATGTGCTAATGTGGGGAAACAGCCTTAAGGCACAAACGGGGCACTGTACATTGAAAAATCAAGTCAAAATAACAGTAACATTAAACAGAAATAAAAAAATAGAGACAGAGATAAAAAGAAAAAATGTGGAAAAAGGAGAAAAGGCATACATTAATTGAAAGCTAGACTAAACTGATAAGCCCTGCATCGATTTGAAAACTGTAAAAGAGATTCCACGATGGGCAGTAGAAGAGTTCCAAAGTTGTGGAGCAAGGCAGGAGAAAGTACGCGCCCTAATGCACTTGTACCTATAAGGCGTTACGACTCAAAATGTGCCTCTGCGGAGTGTACAGCCCTGTTTGGTACATACTGCAATATAGGGTGAAATGAAGGATGCTACATATTGTGGGGTTTTGGCATGCAGGACTTTAAAAGTTAAAAAACTTGAGTTCTCTAGGTAACGGGGGAGCCAGTGAAGAAGTTGTCAGAATTGGGGTGATGTGGTCAAGGAGCCTTGAACCCTTTAGAAGCTGAGCAGCAGAGCTTCGGACCATTTGAAGTTTGTCAAATGGCTATTACAGTAATCTCGTTGAGATATATTAAGGCAAGCATCAGGGTTCATCAGCAGTGTAAGCAAGAAAAGATCGAATGCGGTCTGACAAGAGCAATGCATGGGGATGTGAAAATGAAAATGACTTGAAATGAAAGCAATTGAGACCCTCATTTTCATATAGAAAACATCACTTGGACAAACGTATAGAAGTATGTGTTCTGCTGTGGGATTGGACGATACAAACTTTATATAATGCAGAGGCAAAGAGCCTGGGTCATTTGTACTCAGAAGAGCGACTGAAGCAAGAGAACTCTGCAACAGGTTGGGGCATTTTTCACAGTTTTTTTCTGTGTATTCCATGTATTCATAATCTATTAATTTGTTTTCTAAATTTGACATTCCTCTTTTGTTTTCGCGTTGTTGTTAAAAAGAATAATCAACAATCCAATATTTTTAATAATGTCCAGTCATTTTGATTTTTTTATTAGTTCCACTTATTTCAAAACAACAGTAATGTTAGAGTTTAAATTAGTCATTACTTGTCTTGAATGTAAATCACCTTGGAAAAGTGCATCAGCACTGACATACTGTAGTGGCCAGCACTCTCACTTCACAGCTCCAGGAATGTGTTTTGCTCATGTACAGTATGTTTGCATGGGTTTTCTCCAGGTATTGTACCACAGTCTAGTCCAGTGACATGCTGTCTATGTAAAGTACTGTAGCATCTTAAAAATCCTGACATGCCTGTATGTGTTTACGAGTGTGTCCCTCTGGTGTCCCATCCACGGTGCAATAAAGTTCTTGTAATGGAATCTTTCTTCAGGTTTTTAGTTACATTAGGGGAATGCTGTAGTTACCCCTCTTCAACATGTGACTGAGAAATATAAATAAAATGACTTACAGCACGCAGAGGCAGTGTGAGACTGATAGGAAAACTTGTAATAATTGTTCTGCTTTCATTGCCAGGAACCAGCTGACTTTGGGAACACACTGAACATGTCCAGATTATTATCAGTGATAGATGGGATCAGCCAGATTGAAGAACTTTCTAGAGCCCTAAACAGTGATCGAAATGCAGCTATTGAAATTTGTAACCACATGGAAAAATATCATCTAACAAACCCAAGGTAAGTTATCAGAGGTGAAATAGTAAGTTTTGGATAAAGAACATAAAATAAAATTTTGAAGAGTCAAAAATAAAACTAAGTAATGACATCTTGTAAATCACAGTGCAACTTTCTAATGTAATGTAATGTTTTTGTTTTAAATGTATGAGACAAGCTGTGTTTCTTAATGTGAGATAGAAATTCCTTATAGACTCACAATTTGCCAAACTAGACAAAATTCAGTAAAGCATAATTCTTATTAGTCATTGGGGAAATAGTCACTAAATCTACTCCTCTATTGGGAAGAGTCAGTGAGGTCAGAAGCTCTTCTTATTTAAAGTCTCAGACCCTGTTTGTATGAGCCTTATAGTCAAACCTTGGCCCCAGTTGCCCTCAAAGCAAAGATGAAATGCAGTACATTAAAAATAAACAGTATTTTGTTAATGTTCTATCTTCACACTGCCGAATGGCCTTATCTGTAAGCTCACTATGGACATCTGCTGAATCAGAAAAAGTGTAAGAGCATGCAATATATGCGGTACAAAACATACAGTCGTCTGCAAACAGTGACCTTGATCTTTTACTTTGTATCAGGACCTACTCATTCAGTGGAGATGTCTGTGATCCTCCTCACCCTACAGTCAAAAATGATCAGAAAGCCATGTGCTCCTTCTCGAAGCAAGTGGGCACAGCCACCGGATGTGTTGGAATTCTGATGTATGATATCACCTCCGGCTCCCAGGTCTTGCACCGTCTGGCCATTATGTTTTCAGTGCCCTTTGACTACAACCTGTACGAAAACTGGTTTGCTCTGGGGATTTTTCCTAAAGATCAGGCCTGTGATCATGATCTCTACAATCTCATGTATTATAAAGAAGCCAAGAGTTTCACCAGAGGCAAGGCGGCAGGGGGGAACATGTTGAAACATGGGGAGTCGCAGATTGAAGTCAAAGGAACTATGTCAAATAAAGGCAGCGCCATCCTGAAAATAGAGATGCATGAAACATAAGCTAATCAGTAAGACGTTTCCCCATTACATAGCTGGTAGACTGCATATGTCAAATTGCTTATAGATTTAATTTTGACAGTTTAGAAATCAATGTATTAAATGCACATGATTTCTTACTTTTTTCTGCATTATCATTAATGCACTGTGCTAGTTTTTATGCTATTTTGCTAATATATTTTGCTTAATACATTAGTTGTGCAAAATGAGTTACCTTAGTAATAATGCAATGTTTTTACAATTTTAGATTTCCCTTTTGCATAGTATGTTTTATCTAACTGCATTTGTCTTTGATCCAATGCTTGTGGAAATAAATTAATACATACAGCAGATACTTTGGAAATATCCATCCTTCCATTTCATAACTGTGTTCTTGTGTCTCGGGGGAGCCGGAGCCTATTCTGGCCAGCATCAAGCACAAGGGTGATAGAAACCAGGTGACAGAGTGTGTGACAGAGTGAGAAGTGTGTCATCTTGGGGATTAAAGGTGAGACTGTAACTGATGGTCACGCATTTATTAGTCTTGCAGATGGTGGAATTACAAAAATCTGATGTTTAATCTCAAACTTCTGACATGGGGAGGTTTAAGAAGGCTGCCCAAACTTAAATGAGACTTAGAGAGGCCTAACGCAGGACTCGAATTGTAGAAGTCTGGACTTTCAGAGCCACGCAAGCTTACCTGCATGTAAAAACATCATCATTGTTTAAAAGGAGTAAGATACCTTCTTCAAACCCTAGGGTTAGGATTATGGATATGGTTTAGTTTATGGAGTTTGTTACCTGCATGTAATTAATGATCAATTTATCAACAGTAGAGGTTTATTATTATCATGTGTAAGGTATTACCTTACCGGTGTACCAGTATCATATGCCATACAGTATTACCTTCATAAACCCCCTGTAAATGGCATTTGCAATCTTATCTAATGATAATATTTCTTTATTAGCCCTATACAATTTCTTGCATTAGGAATGCGTCTTTTCGCATACCCCAGCTTTTTCTCCATGGAGACACAGACACAGAGACAGAGACAGAGACAGGGAGAGAAGCTTGGGGTCAGAGCGCAGGGTCTGCCATTGTACAGCGCCCCTTTGAGCAGTTAGGGTTAAGGGCGTTGCTCAGGGGCCCAACGGAGTAGGATTCCTCTGCCGGCCGCGGGATTTGAACCGACAACCTTCCAGTCACAGGCACAGATCCCTAGCCACAGAGCCACCACTCCGCCCGGAGCTTCCTATCTATGGAACTTACTATCTAATGTCTGTCTGAATCTGATTCTAACATCCAACATGAACTGGCGTTTTTAGCTTACTGATTCTTATTTCTTACATTAACATTTTAGCATCTCTTATGAGATCGGTTAGCAAGCATTAGAGCACTTCCATTGAGGCCAGACTGTGCCAGCAGTTTATATTTCTATGTTAAGAATCATTATCACTGTATAATCACATCTCTCTTCAGTCTGTTACACAGGCAATCGCTTCGTGTCATACTCAGAATCATTAGTACTGTATTTCCTCAGAGTGTAAAAGCCTTGTAGCAGACCTGACTGTGGTGTTTTTGACTTCCTTTTTCGACACCTGTGAACATGAACTGAAGCACGTCTCAGTGGTCAGTCGCCCTGTGTGAGTGTTATACGTTTCTGTTTTTTATGGTCTATCCTGACCATAAATAAAATCTTCACATAAGCCTCATCCTGTGCTGAATATGTACATGAGTTGTTTTCGGAATAGTACATATTTACATTTATATACCCATATAGATGATGATATTCAGTGTTAGAAACATTGAGATCAAAAGTGAGGATAACAGCTGAAATCAACTTAGTGACCAATGAGGGTGATGGACTGTGAATATCGACTTGCAGTTGAAATCTGAATTAATAACTTTAAAGACGTCCCCCTCAAAAAAATCTAAACGGTGTTAAATGTTCAGATTACATATATGTGTTTAATAAAGGCTCAATGGATTGCAAAAAATGTATCATATTTTATGCTGAATGTTTGTTTTTCTTTAAATTGTAGTTTTGTGTTCTTTGCACGTGAAGTTCTTGAATTAAAAAAAAAACTAAAATTCAAAGCATGTAATAACCAGCCATGTAATCAGATTTTTCCAAACATCTGCTGTTTATTTTTAATTTCTGTTAAATATATTCATTGCCTTACTTGTCATTCTTTAGTCAGAAGATACAGTATACAGTATGTATATATATTATGTAAATACCCAAGGAACTCCTCATCAGTTGCGACATGGCACACAGAAATGGCAGCTACGTCTATTTTTAAGGTGGAGAGCAAACATCCTTCATCCAAGTTCAAGACAGACTGCAAAAAAAGTGAATGATCACCACAATGGGTCAGTGGGTTACTGGACAAGAATTGCCTCATAGAAAGTGCCCTAACAGTTATGTATCAGCAATGATAGCTGGCAGCAGTCCTAGAACGGGCAAACCTACCTATTAAGGAGCCTGACCTATAGCTACCACACCTATGGGAATTATGCTCTGAGCCAGGTCATCTGCCAAAGCAGGCCATGCAGAAGCTTCCAAAGTTTCCCAGACCAGAGCCTCTGAAGCTAATGTCAAATCATGAGCCTAGTTTTACCACTTTCTCCTGACGTTCTGGAATAAAGTCCATATAAATAAAGGCAGGACTAATGGAAAGAAGAGCTTAAATAAATGTCTTGTCTTCACCTTGGTTTGTGCAAGGACATTAAAAGTAGAAGCTGCTAGAGTTTCTAGAGATCATTGCAGAGATCTTCTAACTTCATTTTTGATTTTCACTTCCACATGAAGAAATACAGTATGTGTTTCAAAAACTACTGTAATGCTTTAATCAAAATAAATAACAACTATAGAGCTAGCAGCTACACTGTATATATCATCCTGCAACTCACAACTGGCAGCCCACTGAAGCTCAGCAGGTGTGAGCCTGGTCAGTACCTGGATGACAGACTTCCAGGGAAACCTAAGGTTGTTGATGGAAGTGTTGTTAGTGGGACCAATAAGGAGTGTTCACCCAGCGGTCTGTGTGGGTTCTAATACCCTAACACAGTGATGAAGACACTATACTGTAAACAAAAGGTGATATCCTTTGGATGAAATGTGAAACTGACGTCCTGACTCTCTGTGGTCATTAAAAATCCTAGGGTGTTTCTTGAAAAGGATAGCAGTCCAGCCCAAATTTCCTCCTGCCCATCACCTATCATGGCCACCTACTGTACTAATCCCTATTTATGAATTAGCTTCACAACTGTTTTTCTCCACACTATTAGCTGGTGTGTGATGAGCGTACTGGTGCCCTTTCAGGCCGCCACATCATCCAGGTGGGAGCTACATATTGTTAGTGGTAAAGGGGATTCACCATTACTTGTAAAGCGCTTTGAGTGGAGTCTCCAGAAAAGTGCTGTATAATGGTAGGGATCAAATACGGTATAGTACAGTACGTGTATTTACTGTGCTTTACACAAGATTTAAAATTCAGTTTTCCAAACACAACGTTTTCCTTAATTTTAAACGTATTTTTTTCTTTTTTTGATGCTATCGCAATTTGTGACAAATGTGTGCTTATTCAAGTATGTGACACGATCCCCGGTACCAGCTTTAGTCCTCAAATCTAGCCTCACGAAGTGTCTATGGTGGTGTACAGTAGTAGTTGTTTGTCAGACGCAACTGCGTTTTTTCTAGCAGACCTCATCCCATTAGCGAAAAGGGGGAGTGTGCATGATGTGTGGCTTTTCCCTTTGCTCTAGATCCAGACATACAGAACTTTACTTTTTAACTGTTCTACGCACTTTAGCTGTGAAGGGAATTTAACAACCCGGAGCCTATGTAATGTTAAAGATCTGGTGAAAAAAGCAGCGCGTTGGATTCCGTTACACCTAGCATTTTTCTTTACCCGAATCTGCTATGAGAACAGTTTTACTCGTTTCTAGAGTGAAGCTCTTCACATCTAAGGAGAAACCGAGGCCCTGAGGGTGAGACTTGACGTGTGAAAGAGAGAGTCGGGGGCAGCTGGAGATCAAGGGGCGGGAGCGCATCTCGGCATCAAGGGCTATAGAGGTTCAGGTTTGAAACAAAACTGAGACCAACGGAGACTGGTGAGTTAAGACAGTCTGAGTTAAAAATATTCTCGACCTCGGCTACTGAACTAACTATTCCTTCTTTATATGTTGCTGGCTACTCAGTAAGAGAACTTGTAATGCAGAATACTTTCTATTATGTTTCGCGTTTTACTACTTAATGTACCAGGGATTCTGTATGGAACCCTGCTATTTTTATGTGGGGACGGCTTCTAGAGATGAGACCACATAGCAATATTCTACTGCGCTGTACAATCGCCGGTGTCGTATTCAGTTCAGTATCCCATGGTCATCCGTGTTCCCGATACAGATGTATTTGTAAGTCACACGAAGCCCAGAAGGGGACTGTATCCCCTGTCGTGATTTGAAGAACACTTAAACTGTCATTCACGGGCTTGCGCTAAGGTTTTACAGTACATTACTCCAATCCCTAGCGAGCACATTAAATAAACCGATAAACTGATTTAAACGAACAAACAGCTGGCTCTTTTTAAATCTTATTGTAGTAAGCAAAGGCTCAAACGTGCATGAAGTTCCTGCCGATTTCGTTAGCTATCCTGGAACGTTTTGCGGATCCGGATTTCCAGGGATACTGAAATCATGTACTGTATGTGACACATTTCCTCTTTTTCGTTTTATTTATAAAATTAAATCGAGTTTAAGTCTTGTGAAACATTTTACCTATGAACACTTTTATATTTTTCTTAGTGTGCAGCACAAGGTTATGAAAGTGAAACTAGAAAAAACTTTGTAAGACTGTATTTAAGGTATAAATGGTATGTGCTGTATAACACCGTAAAAAGAAAAGATAGCTGATAATGTACAGTAGCTGACATTACATATTATATAAATAACTTCCTGACATTTCTCAATCCTACCATGTCTTAATATTATTTATATGGAGGTCTCATACTGCTTGGGTCCATGGTGCTGGCAAGGTTACAGTGTAGGCAAGGAGTAAAATCGATTTATTGGTAACAAAATTAATGGTAAACTATTTTTATCACAGGTGTAGCAGCCACAGTCAACACAACGCAACACAGCTGTATTGCAGAATGCATTGTACAATTTAACATATGACATCACAAAAAAAACCCTAGTTTTAAAGACATATAGAGTGTCAGTCACATGAAGTTTGAAATGATAGCTTGCTTGTAATTTAACCATAGCTTTACATAGAAAAAATGTTGTGGTGTGTCATTAATAAACATCAATTGATATTTCCTTAGGAATATTACATCACATAGCCCTAGATCTGATGTCAAGACATGGTCATTTCCCAACATTTCCCTGTTCCTGTTTGTATACAGTAGTTTTCCAGTATATTGTATTAGGCTAACATGGATAACTAAGAGACGCGATCAATGGTTTTTGTAACATCGGAGAGTACACATGAGAAAAGCATGAGAATGTTACAAGGGTTATGTTATGCACAGCCATACATAACCTAAGAGTAGAGTTAACAGTACAAGTAGACAATGCTTTACAACATTACGTAACAAACATCAACTCATACATAATCATGTCACACCAGTCTTATAGGAATCCACGCAGCTTCTCCAGAGCCCTGTAAATGTACTCCTCCCACAATCCCACAATTACACTAAGCCCATTTAATTACACATTACCCCTTCACATTCGCAGTGTGGGAGGAGTTTTAGTGACATAAGCAACCTTAAATGACACCTGCGTATTCACACAGAAGAGAAAACTTTGTAAGATGTTTGTTGTCTTGTCTTATTTCTTATGTTATTAGTTTTCTATTATTACTGTGTTCTGTTGCTTTCATGTTATGCTTGAAAGTGGTGGATCAACATTTTCCATTTTCTCACCGATACCAGTTCTAACTGTTGTTTCCAGCCTGGGGATCCTGGAAACCATGGTTTGGCGTGTAAGTGCAGGAGTGACTCAGTTAACAAGGGACCTTCTCTGTTTTTTAGTTTTGTGCTGTTGCCATTTTTCTGACAGAAGACCGTATTTGAGCACCAAGCCAGGAATCCCACGCACCCTGAGATTGTGAAGTCTCAGTGTTAGAAACCCTTCATCCCGTGTTGACAAAAGGTTTGTGGGCCCTGCAAGGAGCAAGAACTACTAGGTGAACAAGGCCACTTTATTCTAAGATATATTCTAAGTTTTATTCTGGTCATGACCTTAAGGTTTACATTCCAATGACGCCGATGATAGGACTATGAATATATAAGAATATGGCAGTGCAGAAGAGTCAAAGATGGAAGAAAAGAAAGGAGACCCAAGAGCTCATTACAATAAAGAAAAGATTGTGGTTATTGGATTTCATAAATCAGTCTTGCTACTGGGGACTATGTAGTATATGGATAGTAAAGGCATTATTGTGTTAATTTGGTATAGTGCTCCATTTTCTTTATTCTCCTGGAATAAATTAAAATAATTATGTGTAGTGGCGCAGTGGTAAGCATTGCTGTCTTGCAGTGCTGGGGTCCTCGGTTCGTTTCCAGACCTGGGGTGCTGTCTGCGTGGAGTTTGTATGTTCTCCTCTTGTTTGCATGGTTTTCCTCCAGGCGCTCTGGGGTCCTCCCACAGTACAAAGACATGCTGATAGGTTTAGTAGCTTCAGGGAAAACTGGCCCTGTTATGAGTGTGTGCGGTTCTGTGAGTGCCTTACGATGGACTGTTATCCCCTTCCAGTGTGTCTTGTATAGCAAGGAACAAGAGGAAATATTGCAGGTGAGATAAGGAGTTGCACTACTACATTCTTTCTTGATGAGCCATGACATACTGCATCCAATATTGGGCCCTGAGGGACACAGACTAAATTTAGAGAAATGAGGAGTAATTTTAACATCTTAGGGAATATTTGCTTCCTTTTCCAGTGTGCTTGCTTGATTATGGAACAAGCTACCCAACCATGTTGTTGAAGGTGGTACACTGATGTCTTTGAAGAAACATCTGGATGAGATTCTTGGATCATTTAAATTACTAACTACCATACTGGACAGATGGGATGAATAGGCTCCTCTCATTTTTATTTTATTAATGTCCTTAAATCTCCCAAGTGTGACTTGGAATTGTAATTTTTCTTAGCAAGCGTGGTCTATTTCAGCATCAGTTTATAGTTTATACAGTAAGTAATCTTTTATTTATGTTTACCACAAACAGCCTAGGTTGTTAGAATCACTCCATCTCCTTTGAATCTTTCTTATGTTCTAATGGCAGTACAACCACTTCTGACTGCATTACAGTTGTTAATTTTAGGGATCTAATGGGGTAGGTTATGAAATAAAAAAAACAGTTGTAAATATTTTTTCTATTTTGAAAACTGAGTGTAAAATTTGTGAAAGAAGTCTCTTTTAAGCTATTGCCCGATTATTTCTCCACACCAAATTATTCATGGAAGTGCAAGCCTGTTCCTGCCCAGAGAGGGTATGTTATTTAACATCACGGAACCGCTTGAGTTCAAGACAGTGTCAGGACTGGCTATTTAGATACCAATATATTTTAGTGAGAAAAGACATTTATCTGTAGCATATTATAAAGCCTTCATTAAACACAGTCTCCAATAACTATCGTTATGCTATAGGTGCTGGTAAATACTATTTAATACAGACACCAGGTCTTTATCTTTTTGTCTTTATTTACTAGAGTGGCGTTGTAAACACCATACCCAATTTTTTGTAACAGTGATATATGCGTTTACTTTTACTGTTTATTTTAACCCAGGAAGAAATGGGCGCAAGGCAGAATACACAGTCCTGGACGTCAGGATGCCAGTCCATCACAGAGCACACATTCACAACAGGACTAATTTTCGCAAAAACTTACTGTCTTTGAACTGTGGGAGGACAATCCTCATATGGATTTGTTTTAATTTCAGCTTGTTTCCATCCCACAAAAAATATTTTCTCAATATTTCATAGCACAGGCTCAAAGTGTATTATACTGTTGCAATACTGTTGACGCTCTTTCCTCATTATCAGTGAATGAGACCTACATATTTTATTGTAATTTCAATTTTCACTTTAAAAAAGTGCAATATATGTCCTTGCAAAGGATGCTTGTAATTATTAAAGAGTGACTATTTCAGTAATTTGCTGCATTACGTTCTGGAACTCTCCCACGTGTTTGTTCAATTCTGTTTGGTATTGAATTTCTACAGCAAGAGCTGGACTTAGTAGTGTATTTGAATATCCTCTAGGGGGCAGCAGCTACTTCTTTGCGTTTGTTGTTATCCACAACATTTGAAATACTGGGTGTGGTAACACAGTTGTTAGTATTTTAGTATTGTTGCCTTGCAGTGCTTGGGACCTGGATTCAATCTCAGACCCTGGGTGCTATCTTTGTGGACTTTGTATGTTCTCCATGGGTTCATGTTGGTTTCCTCTGGGTTCTGTGGTTTCCTCCCACAGTCCAAAAACATTCTGGTAGTTAATTGGCTTCTGGTAAAATTAGCCCTGGTGTGAGCATGTGTGTGTTTGTATGTGGGTATAGAAATGCATTGATGTAGTACAGAGCTGGTGAGTAATTTTAGCAGTTCAATTCATTGCATTGTACAATATTTACCTAGTGTACTAGTTTAGTAAGGAGCCGTGTAATAAATATATAATTATCCCCAGCTAGTAAGTTGCTTTCAGTACACGGGCCTTATACAGTAGGTCTGAGTAAAACACAAGAATTCAATCAGCTACTGTAAGTACATTTTCATGCTCAGTTTATGACATCATAAACTTTTGTTAGCATACTGGTTTTCAAGCTGGAATTATTTACCTCAAAGTCACACCCCAAAGACTTAAATTGGCATGGTTGAACTGTCCATGATGTAGAAATGCAGTGAAATCAGAGAGGCTGAACCCAAAGCAGAAAACTGAAATTTCTCTCTGCAAAATATTTTAAATAACTTTTCCAAAACATGAGCCACACAGAGAGTGATATTTCTGTGGGGGGTGTGCAGTTTAATAGGACTACTTGCAGACCGTGGAAAGATTTGGATTCGAATATACACATAGCAATATGTAACCTAACTTTACTAACTCTGGATTATTGGTGCTACAAATAAAAATTGATTACCATCAGCAAAATCATATACAGTGTTCCATTTAAGTGAAATGACACTGTCGAATGCCGTTGATTACTTCTAAAAGTACCATCCTAATTTCTGCTGGCAACTGGAGATCTTTGAAACGCAGGTCGATGTCGAGATTGGGATGGCTTTGTTTAAGACCTCGGACAGGTTCCGAGTCCTCTTTTTTGGAAAACCAGCCAAGCAGCAAGAGGAGACGCAGACAGGGCATCCGGGACACACATTGCATCAGAGCTTGGACGGTATCTGCCCCTGGATCAACAGCAGCAGCAGCAGGGCTCTTCTGTGACAGAGAGAAACTACGCAACTCCTCCAGTCCGCCAAGTCCTTGGAAAAATCCCTTCCAGCCCACGTCCGTGACGGCCTGGTGGTCATTCAGCACCAGCTTCTGGAGTCGACATAAATGACCAGCCCTTGCTGTCTGAGCTGTAGGGAGCGGAAATAAAGATGCTAGCAATACCAAAACACACGGAGTTTATCCACTGGCACCATCTGAAGGCGGACCAAAACAGTCCAGAATGGGATTAGTTATTCTTTTATCACAGTGTTTCCATTTGTTTTTATTAGAAAATGTTGTATTCTAGGTTTTGTTGCCACTGAGATCTTGATTGCTTAGATATATTTAAAACTTCACTGAAATTTTCATCTTAAACAACTCAGTAGGATACTATTATTTACTGATATCCCTTTACCTCTAAACTAACCCCATTACCAGGCACATGCACATTTGTTTCATAGGTTTCCTTTATGATGGAAATGTGCTAGTTGTATGGTTTCTGTTATTTCTGCTTATTGCATTGATTGTATACAACTGTAAAGTGAACCTGAGAAAAGAGCAGCTGCTAAGCAAATTAATCCACCATATTGTGGTAAGCATGTAAAAGTATAATCTGTCCTACAGAAAATCGTGGTTCTAAACTCCAAAGTGAAACATTCTACCTAATCTGTTTAGAGAGTCATCATTGAGACAGCAGTCCATCCGCAGAGACTGAAGTTCAGAAAACAGGTGAAGCTTCTCCACAATGAGCTCAGACCTCTGGGTAAGTGCAGGGACTTTCAGGCACTCAAGCTGTGACAGAGTTTCCAAGGCATTGGCTAAATGAGGAGAAAACAAAAAAACAGTCAGGCTTTTCATGTGGAACCCAAGCCTTGAAATGTTGTTAATTTGGTCAATGGAAAAAGGCTATAACTATTCTGATCATTTGATTCCAGAAAAAAGTCCAAAACCAGATGTGCAGTTACACTAAACTGTCTCTAAAGGAGGAGGAAGTCAAGTATTCATCTGCATTTAACCGTTCAAATCTATTCAGGAAAACTTAAATACATTTATTTAATACATCTCTATTCAGATTCTCATTCATTGGAAAAATGCTGTTAAAATGGGATTGAAACAAGTATGCATTTCAGGCCAGACTAGGATTAGTGTTACAAGACCCATCCAATTTTGACTCAATTTTTACATCCAGTTCCATTTGAAATGGCAGAATTGAGAGAGTTTACCCAATAGAATGCATTTTCTCAATGCAATGCACATGGCCAAGCAATATATACAGTACTGCCAAATATATCTGAAAAAAAATTGAAGATAGAGAAAAGTATCACTCTTCCTAAACTTCACCTGGGCCCCAAAATACAGCCATGAGGTTAAAAAATGTCTAAGTACTTTGAAAATCCTAACCCTAACCCTAGATAGGGTTTAAGGTGAGCAATTCTACCATCTGTCTTTGAAGCCCTCTATTCATCAGACTGGAAAATATTCTTCTCTCCAACAAATAAGAACTACAAATTCTCAAATGCATTTATAAAAACTCTTAAGAAATAGATGTTCTCCAATAATATATTTTCTCTACGAAATATTTCAATCGCTTGAAATACGCTGTTAAAAAGGGATTGAAATACACCTGAATTTCAGGCCAGTCTAGGGTAAGGGTTAGGGTTCAAAGACCCATCAAATTTTGACTCAATTTTTACATCTGATTCCATTTAAAATGACTGAATAAAGAGAGTTTAGCCAGTGGAATGAATTTTCTCTACACTTTTGATTTTACCCATATCTGGAATACACTTCTTGAAATGTCCAATGCAATGTAAAGTGCCACATATGTCAAGAGAACAAAATTGAAGATGGGAGAAAAGTATCACTCTTCCTAAACTTCACGTGGGCCCCAAAATACAGCCATGAGGTTAAAAAATGTCTAAGTACTGTGAGAATCCTAACCCTAACCCTAGCTAGGGTTTAAAGGGAGCAATTCTGCCATCTCTCTATGAAGCCCTGCATTCCTCAGATTGGAAAAGATTCTCCACTCCAACAAATAAGAGCCAAAAATACTCAAATGCATTCATTAAAACTAGTAAAAATAGATCTCATCCAATAATGTATTTTCTCTATGGAACTTTTACATCAGTTGAAATATGCTGTTAAAATGCGATTGAAATAGACCTGAATTTCAGGCCAGTCTAGGGTTAGGGTTACAAGACACCTGCAGTTATGACTCCATTTTTACTTTCAGTTCCATTTTAAATGGCAGAATTGAGAGAGTTTACTTTCAGGAATCAGTGTTGCTGTCTATTCAAATTAGAACCGGCAGTATCTCGATTCCAGGGTGCTGCCCTTACCTGGACTAAAAGATGTAGCATCTGCACAGACAGAAAAGAGTTTTAAATAGGGAATTTCAGTATCACAAAATAAATGTGCTAAATTGTGCTAAAAAATTATTCTACAGTTTTGTGCAGTGAGGAACTAAAGGTGGAAAACTGGTGCTTTAGAGATGCTCGAATGTGTAGGTGCTAAGAACAGAGCAACAGCAGGTCTCACCAAATGTTTCTACAGCAGAATCGGCCTCCACCTTCAGTCGCCACAGACTGAGGATCCGAAGAGACTGGAGATTTGACAGCAAAGAAGCTATGAGAAGAAAAGATACTTTTCGAATTATCTGAAATGTCCTTTTTTCAAACAGAACATCCATTCATCCATTTTCTAAGCAATTCGCCCAAATCATGGTCAAGGGGGAGCTAGAGGCTACCTCCACAAGGCGGGGTACACCCTGGATAGGATGCCAGTCAATCACAAGGCAGACACACGGACACGAACACGCATACCAAGGACCAATGTTCCCAGAAGCCAATTAATCTACCAGTATGTCTTTGGATTGTGGGAGGAAACCAGAGCACCCAAAGGAAACCAGTGCAAACACAGGGAGAACACTCTACACAGACAGCATACCAGGTCTGGAATTGAACCCAGGGGCCCAGTGCTGCGAGGCAGCAATGCTAACAACTGTCCCACCATGTTGCCTTTTATATATCGGGAAAGATATTCGGCCTATGCCAAATTTTTGTATATAGTTTATTACTTTATTGAAGAATGATGAAGAATAAGGATTGTTTCTTGTTTTATATACAGTATACTGTATGTACAAACTTCATGAAAATATTAGTTAATATTTCAAAAATTTACTTGTTATATGTTGCTAGTTTCTGTTTAAAAACAAGCTCTATTAAATTAAGCACTTACCTAACGTCTGGGTTTCTGTTTCATTTAATGTGAAGCTTCCTAATTTCAGCTCCTGTAGCCCCTTACAGGAACTCAGTGCCTTTGCCAGCTGCTCAAATCCAGGACAGGAAGCACATCTCAGATGGAACACAGTCAGACAGCTGAAGTGTCGGATGAACCAGGCTTTAAACAGAAGAAAAAAAATTAACTCAATATGATTTTTTTTTACATTGTGATAATGTCCGGAAAAGGCAAATGTATATCAAGGTCTGATATCATAAACGTCTTTAAAAGCACAGGATTCTCCAGGAAATTGTTTTCCAAAAGACAAGCTCATTTCCCTTACTTTCCCACATGCAAAGAACACTAGGTCATTCTGTGGCTGAGATCACAAAGAGGGGCTGCCTTAACTACATTACTGTGCCATTATACAGACAGCACCAGGTTGCTTGGTCAAGGCACACAAAGATTATTTGAACTCTTTAATAACACTTAATTCAAAGAGAAATAGTAGGCCATAGGCCATAGGCTATTAACCTTTACTTGCTCCTGTACTGGCTTTGCAGAAAAAAGTTTTTTTTTGCTGTGCGGAAACTGACTTGAGTGCTGTGACAGACCAAGACAACTCACATTACCTAAACTGGATGTATCTTCTGTGAGGTCAATATTGTACAGTTTGATGCTTCTCAGGTTAACAAGATTCCGGAATCCAAGTGGGATTTTCTCAACAACCTGGGATGGGGGACTAACGGACACCTGGAGCTCTTCCAGGGCAGTGAACTTGTCAAGATGGCGCAGAATGTATTCTGAAAAGATGAAAAACAGAAGACAAGAATAGCATATTAGTTTACCCCTTCTTCAGACACAAGGATTTATGGATTACCAAATATTTCTCTTTATTGCCACTGAGTATTCAAGTCAAGTACGAGTTTGTGCCAGGACAGTCTGAGCATATGCTCATCAACTAATGCCCATGAATCCTTTTCTTTAAATATTGTGAATGAAGGGCAAAATGAACTGTTCATGTAATAAAATTTACAAGAAACATTTCAACATTCTTAATTAAAGTTATTGTGTTGTTTTACTAGATCTGTTTTAAGAAATGTTATTCTATGTAGCAGTAGTGAAGAATTTATAAACACTCAATGCTTCATCCAATTTAATTACCAAAATATTCTTACAAACAGGAATCCTCTGAAAATAAAAACTGCTAAAAGGAGAAATGACTTCTACTAGTAGCCTCACAGGAAACTAATGATATTCTCTGAGAATTGTTTTTCTAGATCTGTGTAAAAGCCACTCAAATATGCCTTCCTCACAACATGGAGACAGGCTGTGAGGAGCAGATCAGCCATTGCAATAGCAGTAACCTTCCATAACGCCCACGGAACCTTTGGTGTCCAGATTTTATTTCATATTGTGATTACAGTTTCTCCACTCTTGACCTTCCACAAATTAACCTGTGCCGATTTAAACCTGGTGATTTTTGATTTCGTGTTTTTTAAGGAAATGTGTAGGATTCCACCCGAGGGCTGTATAAAATATTTTTCCACACAACATCATTATATTTTGGCTCGCCTCGCCCTGCCAGCCTGCCCCTCCTACTGTTCTTCTCATTGTTTTCATTCTCTGTGTGATGGTATGGTTGTTTCAGGCTGCGCTTTTCACTGGCCTGAGGTTCAATACCTCCAGTAGAGGTAGAGAGCTGGTGTGTAGTCGCTCAAGATTAGGTTCCCTTGCAGAGGTTGGAGCAGAATAAGTCAGAAATATTTTTGGATGAGTATAAATGCACATTACCAGTCATTCCATATTTAACCTTTCTTACTGAGTCTTGCTATTCTGTATTAAAAATATATGAGAAAATGTAAACGAAAACAAAGAACTGTATAATGCTGTGGAAACATCTTACATTTTACATTGTTCTACTCTTTTTCCTCATTTACATTCGTTCTTGGGTGGCATAATGGCACAGTGGGCGAGTAGAGACACAAAAGACGCTAATAACTGCTCTGACTGATAATTGCATTTAGATTAAATGTAATTCGAAACTCAAACATTTCATAGTCTGCTCATGTATTGCTTACTTTGAACTGATCATGTTTTTCAAGGTTCTGATCTATGTGAACTAAACAATTTTAGTTTCTTCTCATCCAAGTCAAACTGTTTTAAAAACAAAGTTATAATCTGAGTCAATTGTTGATGCTCACACTATCATGTAACACCATGTGTCTAAGATGTCTATGTCCTTTGCCAAGCCATGTATCTTTTATAAGTTTGTTGGTAAGGTTATGACCATACGTGTAAAGGTGAATCTCATCCAAGGACCGTTTAATTCATATATTCATAAATGTATATACAGGTATATGTGATCTTAAAGTCTCAGACTATGCCTACCAAACTGGAATAAACGTTAAACTAAAGTCACGGTGGGAATCAGACTCACCTGAGACAGGACTGGCAGCTGTCCCTACTAGCTCCAATACTTTAAGTTCTGTGGCTGACAGCAGACACTTCCTGTCTTCCTGGGCCAGGGAACATCCAATTATACGGCACCTCACCCAGCTTTCTCTGAACTTATCCAGGATGCACTGAATCCAAGAGAGGAAACCTGGGCTGTCTTCCACTTCAATGTCAATCCGTTTGAACACAGAAAACAGGACAGAAAGACGGAGGACGTCGTTCTTTTCGAACGATGCGACCCGGTTAGCTGCCAAATGTAGCTTTTCACCAGTCACTTTTTGCTGATATGCTGCTTGAAAAGCAGAAACAAACTCGACAGGCAGCTGAACAAACTTCCAGGAATGCGGCTGAGAGGGATCGGTCTCCACACAGTCCAAGACATCGGAAAAGGTAACTCGGGTGCACTGCAGCTCTGGGATACACTGTGGGTAGTCTTTGAGGAAATACAGCACACACAATATTGGGTACATGGGTGAATCAAAGTGGAGTGTTGTCCCAGCAAGATGTTGCCGTATTATGGGGAATCCCACGGATGTGCAATTGCTTTCATAGATGAGCTTCAGGACCCGCTCCACATTTATTAAATAAAAAATATTCCCATCTATCATTGATGATTTCCAATGTGTGGTACTCCCATCGAAGAACTCGGCACACATTTTGACACACTGAGTTAAAATTCTTATAAGTGAACGTGGACTGCTGGACTGCTTGTGCAATCCTTTGTCTGTATCAGCAGACATCCAGGCATCTAGACAACTGTACTGAGCCAACAGTTGTGGAATGATGACTGTTGCAGCCTTGCCGGAATGATGAAAGCAGTGAAGTAGTAACAGATAGAACTGTCCCAGTGCTTTAGGAAATGGCATGATTTGACTCAGGCAGATTGAAGCCTTTTCTATCTGGTCAGAGTTGAATAAATGTGCCAGATATCGCCCTGCCAAATACTCCTGGAAGTATTCATCTATGAAACGAAGGCTGTGGGGCCCACAGTTCCCTTCTACCACTAACCCCTGCTTAATCAACCAACCTGACTGTAGGCCAAGATTTGTCAAGTCTTTGTCTGTAAACTCAAACTGATTTCTCATCAAACCTTCCCAGGCCAACTGTTCTACTAAAAGCAACTTCGAGTTCTCATCAATTCCCTGCATGAGGTACTGGACGAAGGTACTGTAAAATGAAGATCCAGTGCTCAAATTCATCCCAGGCTTCTGCACTAGTGATATGCAGAGAGCCAAGGCACAAAAGGGTGTCTTCAAGCTGGCTTTAAATGAATAGAACCATAGTTTCTCCAAACATTTTTTCATTATGCTGAGATTTGGCCATATAAGTCTTTTGACTAGACAGGCTGATCTGCAAGTAGGGAAGTCCTTTAAAGTGACAGTTCTGTCTGGGAGGAGGTTGATTCTGTCCATCATATAAGGACATATGGCAATGACCATGGACAGACAATGCGGTCTTTCCTGGGATTGGAGTTTCTCTCTCAGTTTTTCCAACAATGGGTTTTCTCCCTCTCCAACATCATCCAGGAGAAACAAGGCTGATTCACCATATTGTTTCATCATCCTCTCCAGGTTGGCTTTCACTGAGACAAGAGCAGGGCTTGCATTTAGGTTTGAAAAAGAGACATAAAACACAAATTGGAACCGGCTCAATACGGGGCAATAATCAGAAGCCCAGAGAATGGCAATCTTTTTCAGCAAGGCCGTCTTCCCTGTGCCTCTGCCCCCTTTTACAACAGTTAGGCCATCCAAGCTCCTCAGTAACTCAGGCAGGGTCACGCTCTGTGCTGAACTTCCCTTCTGCTCTTGTGAAGTCATGGCAAGATCTACAAACACCTTTTTCAGGTCGATGGCGAAGCAGCTCACATCTTCTACCACTGCTGGTTTGCAGAACGATAGGCTGCTGTAAACATTTCTCAGAAAGTTAGAGAGTCTGTCTTCAAATGTTCTCACATCTTCAGTTATAGGATTACATTCTGAGAAGAAAAGAGCAAACAATCTGAGCCATCTTAGAAAACACTCTTCATCTCTTATTGAAGAGTAATATAGAAAGGTAACAGATAAGAGTTGGCCTATCCTCTTTTCTCTCTATTCTCTATTTCTATCCTCTCTGTTCCACCTGTCCTACACATTAAGGTGTTAAAAAGTGTACCTAGCCACATTATCATCTGGGTTAATACCCTGTCTTCTCTCAAGAAACAGATAATGGAGGCTGCTAAATTCCCCAACAGGTGAAACTGGAAAATGACAGGGAGCACTATGATTGTGGTTGCAAGTCTCGGTCATGTCATGGGTCAAGAGTAGGGTGGGATTAGTTGACCAGGGCTCTTTTAAAAACTCTCTGTGGCACAAACAGGCTAATGGTGCTGTTAGTGAGGAATGTGTTTCTCCATGAATCAGCACTGAACCTCTGATATAGTGCAGTGGTGCCTGTGTCATCTTGGAGGACAAACAGCTTGAAAGTGGGAGAATTAGAGTGGAAGAGTCTGTATATACAGTACTCCCTCATTTTCTCCTATGTGCGATTGTGAGATTTTTAGCTGTGAGACAAGACATGAAAAATGCATACATGGATTTCAGATAATGTGGATTTATAAACAAATTAAGCTCAATTAAATCTGTTACAACAAAGGCAATTCAAATTAAAAAAAATAAATAAATGGCTGGATGAGATTCTCTGATCAAACAAATCAGATGGGCACAAAAAGACATTCTCTCATTTGTGACCATAGTGAAGTAATTTTTAAGATCTGAATTGTGAACACAAGACCTACAGCACTCAAAACACAATACAGGGATTATATTATATGGCCAGCAGCCATATCACCCTGCAACTCACAACTGGCAACCCACTGTAGCTAAGCAGGTGTGAGCCTGGTCAGTATCTGGACGGGAGACCTCCTGGGAAAAACTAAGGTTGCTGCTGGAAGAGGTGTTAGTGGGGCCAGCAGGGGGCGCTCACCCTGCAGTCCCTGTGGGTCCTAATGCCCCAGTATAGTGATGGGGACACTATACTGTAAACGGGTCCCGTCCTTCGGATGAGACGTAAAACAAAGGTCCTGACTCTTTGTGGTCATTAAAAATCCCAGGGTGTTTCTCGAAAAGAGTAGGGGTGTAACCCCGGCGTCCCAATGGGAAATTTGGTAAGGGCCCAAATTTCCCATTGGCCCTTACCAATCATGGCCTCCTAATAATCCCCATCTATGAATTGGCTTCATTACTCTCTGCTCTCCTCCCCACTAATAGCTGATGTGTGGTGAGCGTTCTGGCGCACTATGGCTGCCGTCACCACATTGGTGGTGGTGGAGGGGAGTCCCCATTACCTGTAAAGTGCTTTGAGTGGAGTGTCCAGAAAAGCGCTATATAAGTGTAAGCTATTATTATTATTATATTATTACAGGTGTATCACTTTAACTCTTCATGCAGATCTTATTACGGCAAATCTTGCTGATGCTGAAACTGACGTTAAGTCTTTCACTACAATGCTGAGAAAAAGCTTCTGGACCGCCTAGGTTTGTCTGCTTCTAAACATAATCAGATTTGATGAAAGTCTTATCCGGTTTGCTCTTGGAGTTACTGTATCTTGGCAGGGCAACTGGACCTGGGTAAACACACCATTTTCATGAATATCTTCCATTTGCAGTGTCACATTATGAAAGTGGATGGGTGGAACCTCAGTGGATCAACTTTTGCACAAGGCCACATTTACTGTTTTATTTTTTTTAATTCTGTTAAATTCAGCAAATAAATAGAAACTGTGCGTTACAATTTGCAGAAATATGTCAAGTTTAAGTTTGTTCACTGCAAGGGTTATGCTAACTTTTTTCACTTAGAAAATCAACAAAACACATAATTTGGCCTGGGGTGCCCAAACTTTTGCATACAACTGTATATTCAGGAAAAACACACCAAGGCATCGACTGGTTTGAATATTTATTTGCTGTTTTTTGTATTATTAAATTATAATTATTTTGACTGCTGAGTCCAATATCATCTGCCTAAAACCCTTAGCTGTATTTCGTCTTGAATAATGAGAGCCTTATTAAACAAAGGTGATGTGATATGATCTTCCACCTGAAAATGTATGTTCACAACAAACCTGGGAACTCTGGCTCCTGGTCCTGTAGGTTGTTTTTCTTTGATGTCGATTCAGATTTCTGCAATTGAATACATTTGTTAATAAATCAACAAGATATTTATGAATTAATCAAAAAACACAATTTATAGTATCAAGACATCAGCATTTAGCAAATCTTTCCAAGAACCCAACTAAAAACAATACGGCCATATATATTTCAGACACCTGAGAAACAGGCCAAATATTTCCTTCAGAATAGCATTACACAATAAGATTAATATCCCATTCAAAGTAAAATATTTCATATTGAGGATACATTGGCACAGTGGCACAGGGGTTAGCCCTGCAGGGCTGGGGACCCCGGTTCAATTCTGGACCCGAGGTGCTGTCTGCGTGTTGTTCGAATGGTTCCCTCATGTTTGGGTGAGTTTCCTCTATGTGCTCTGGTTTCCTCCCAGTGCAAAAACATACCAGGCTGTTAACTGGCTCCTGGAATAACTGGCCCTGGTATGAGTGTGCACGCGTTTGTGTCCGTGTGGGCTCTCTTTTGGACTGGCGTCCTGAGCAGGGTCTACCCTGCTTTGCACCTATTGCTTGCCAGATTTTGCTGAAGCAATCTACTGTACTCATGCATATAAAAAAAATCATCATTAGTCACTCAACCTGATCATGTTCTTACAGAACTTACAGAGATTACAACATGGTTACCTACCATTTCTTCAAAAGCATGATGCTGCTGCTTATCTAAAACAAATGGACATCTAAAATGATAACAGAAAAAAATGTGTGCTTAAGTATTATTAGACAGACAATTTTGTTCTGACATTTCTGGCACTAATCAGGATTTCATACCTGTACAAATACACATATATTTTTGTAAGGGTTTGTGTATTTCAAGTGGTGTGTTTAATAAAGGGGATCAGTCTCACCTTATACCGCTGTTTGCTTTTAGCACTATGTCATGTCATGTCTACACTGGTCTGAGATTATTTTACCTGTCCACTAATTAAATGACTAATATTTACCTGGGAGTAACAATATATCATGAGAAGATGAGATGTGTCGTAAAGGCAAACTTTGTTCTCATATAAAGTCTGCAGGTTCATCTGATTGTCACTGTTTCTATACAAAATAATCCAAGGAAAGACAGCAATAAGCAGGGGGTTCTATTACAATTACGGTTATTGCAAGTTGTGATAATGAAGTATGAAGTAAACGTGTAAGGTTTAATGTTGGAACAACTGATTGTTAATGATGCCCCTCTCTGTCATCAGTTGTTGCTTTTCTACTTTGTCATGCTTGACAATTCTTGTTACAGTTTATTTTGAAATAAACTAAGTTACATAAAAGCACTTGATAATCAAGACGTTTTTCACTACTTACTGTGGAGACCATTTTTGATGTTCCTCAAAAGGAACATCTCCATCTTCCCACTTAAAGACCTCCGTTCCACAGAGGAAGCACTTCACCTTGTCGTCTGTTCCTGGAGAGGACACCCAAAATGTGAGTTACTGTACTAAGAAAATAGTTAGAAACAACTGTATGGAAGGATTCACCATAGCACTTGTTAACACAAATGTTAAGTTACAGTAGATTCTTAAAATCAGATTTGTTTTGTGTAGCACTCTTCATCAACAGAGTGCTACATATAGTTAAAAGCAAGTGATATCAAATGTACTGTATGTTGAGGCATATACTGTATACAAACAGTGACAAAAAGCATGTCCAGAAATGTTTCAAGTAGTTTGTTTAATGTCTGATGGAAATTAATTCCATAAATAGGGAGCACGACAGTAAAACTCCAGCTGCCACTGTAGCTTTGGTATTTTTTGTGAGAGTGAGAGTTTGCAGATCTGAGAGAGCTTTAGAAAACCTGGAGTGATCAACATCTAAAGATGAGCAGCCATGTGCGTTCATGCAGTCATTTTAAACTAATTCCAATGCTTCCCAGATAACCAATGAAATGATTTTAGAACTGGTAATAATATGTCGAGAACACTTGGAGTGAGACAGTAGTCTTGTAACTACATTTTGCGAACATTAGCAAACAAGAAATTGGAAAGTTGTGAGATTAAAAATCTGGGTACAGTATTTCTCCATCCCTCAAGCACACGTTTCAATCTAGCTGTATTTCTGTGATTGTGAAATTTAGTTTTAAACAACAGAATTTGAGTGAAACTCAGCAGAGTGCTTATAGTTCAATACAGTGGCTATCAAATATATTCACCTTTTTGGGACTTGAGATTGGGACAGTTTCTCTTATACATCCCAGAGACATATTGGTTAGGTTAGTTAGCATCCCTATATTGTCCCAGAGTACTTGTGTGCTTGCATGTCCAGGCTCTGTGACTAAAGTCTCATCCATGTGTAGTTCCACCTAAGGCTTCCAGAATAGGCTCCTGGTTATTGCAACCTTTTTCCAGGAAGAAGTACAGTAGCTACCTGATAAAGGATGGATAAATGCTTAATTTCACAAAATCTGTTTTGACCTTGTTTGTCAGGTTAATGATGGCCTATATCACTACCATACATTTTATTTAATGGTAAAATTGTACATTTTTAATTATAGTAAAATTCATCAATCATTTTTGATGGATTTTTGAAAATCAAGCTTTTTCAAAAGGACATTTAACAAGACGATTATAGTCATTCACTATAATGTTGGTATTGTCATGGTATTTATTCAGTCAATAATTTTTTTTTTTAATTTTGAATTAAAAAGTGTGCCTACACATTTACATTATTTGTACTAGCGTGACTATGGCTCTCTGGGCTCATGGAACACGTTTTAGGAGATGTGTATATTTACCAGTGTAGAAAAACCCAGCTTGGCTCAGTGCTTTTGGGTCAGCTGAAGAATCTGAAGGCCACATTAGGAAAGACTCCAGACGAAGATTCTCATCTGCAAATATGTTCAGCTTTTCCTCCAAATCAGCTGAAAAACAAAATGCAAAACAGAAAATGGAGTAAGTCCTATATTTTATAAGCAATTTCCTTCATCCCAGCTTATTACTCCATAAACCATGAAGGCCGAATGGTCACATCTAACAAGTTTAATTATTTACATTGCACAGTTTCAAGTTTGCTTAGTTCTGTCCTGTTATACCTTTCAATAATGTAAATTTACAGAAAAAGAAAAAAAATGTGTTGTTTATAAAAAGGGTGGAGGAGTCTGATGTTTGATCACACCTGTATTAAAATGTTAAACTGGTTTTGTGTCTAATATTTTCAACATTTTGAGGGTATCTAAAGTATTCAACCACAGCAACCTTTTTCTCTTTCTTTCCAACTGGATTTAACCAATCTTATACTTATTAGGGCATTACATTAGTCACAGAGACTAGTGAGCAGGAAGGGTTGAATCATGTTGCAATTTGTGCGAATGTGAGTTGGCAACTAACAGTACTTTCACAAAAATTCACAGTTTTGTGCTCAATTTGAAAAAAAAAATGTCTATAATGTCAATGAATTTATTCTGTTACAGAGATTTAATAACCACTCTGGGAAACTGGGACTGCATGTTCCCCATTAAAATAAATGTCTGTGCATCATTTTATAATTTCTTAAATTAGGACACCATGAGAAGAGTCTGAATACTTTTGCAAGGTACTGCATATACTCTACACTGACAGTAAATACTGCACTAAGTCAATAAACCTGATACTTGGACTTACTTGAACAAGTTCTTTCTTCTGGTGTCTTTTTTCTGTTTTTAAAATGGGATCCCTGTAGAACAAATAAGGAAGAGGCTATATTATTCAAGAAATGCTAAACTGGGCAGATGTTTAAAAATGCAAAAGATCAGTTACATTTTGCACATGATGTTTATTTTTAAAAAGATCGTTCTGAACTCTGAACTGGAAATGTGTTTGCTGATATAGTCGCTATTTAAACACATTTAAGTGATTTTATAAAAAACATACTTTTCTACTGACATTTTCTGGTTAATGTGTTCCTGGTAAACAAAAGCTTTCGTAACTTAATGACTTTTCCTGAAACACTACTAAACACACAACTATTAACAATTAAAAGTTTGCATACCTGCCAGTAGCACAGTACACTGCTTTGTTAATTTGTATACTAATATATATAATCAATAGTAATAGCATAAATACTGTAACTGAGGTAATGCAATGGAATTGTGTTATTGTTACTGTTGGTGAATTTTTATTATTGGCTTAATGAACAGTCTGTATCAGCTTGGGAATGGAAGACTGAAATAAATCTGCACACTTATTATGCAAAACACAGTCTTGATTATGTTGACTTTGTAATGTTATAATTTACATGGCCATGGCGCTACAAGGGTATTAGTATTAAAAACAGAACCACATTTACCTTCACTCCTTTGAAAGCATTATACTGGTTTATGTAGTCCAAGATTTCATCTGTTGTTTTCTTGGTCTGAAGGTATTCACATCTTCATAAAGGTTTCCAACAGCAGCACACAGAAACATTGATAACAGAAGTATGAAATTAACATCAGGAGTTCACCCAGCGCCCAGTTAACATCAGGAGTGCATTTAGCTACCCAGTTAATATCAGGGGCACATCGAGCAGCCCAATTAACATCAGGTGCACACCAGCTGCTCAGTTAACATCAGGAGTTCACCCCGTGCCCAGTTAACATCAGGAGTGCACTTAGCTACCCAGTTAATATCAGGGGCACATCGAGCAGCCCAATTAACATCAGGTGCACACCCAGCTGGCCTGTTAACATCAGGAGTACATCAAGTGCCCAGTTAATGTCAGGTGCACACCCAGCACCCTGTTAACATCAGGAGTACATCAAGTGCTCAGTTAATGTCAGGAGCACCCCCTGTGCCCAGTTAACATCAGGAGTGCACTTAGCTACCCAACTAACATCAGGTGCACACCAGCTGCTCAGTTAACATCAGGAATTCACCCAGTGCCCAGTTAACATCAGGAGCACACCCAGCACCGTGTTAACATCAGGAGTACATCAAGTGCTCAGTTAATGTCAGGAGCACCCCCAGTGCCCAGTTAACATCAGGAGTGCACTTAGCTACCCAATTAACATCAGGTGCACACCAGCTGCTCAGTTAACATCAGGAATTCACCCAGTGCCCAGTTAACATCAGGAGCACACCCAGCACCGTGTTAATATCAGGAGTACATCAAGTGCCCAGTTAACATAAGGAGCACACACAGTGCCCAGTTAACATCAGGAGCACACCTAGTGCCCAGCTGCTCCAGTTACTTTTTTAGCATTAACCTGCTGGGCGTGCTGATGAACTGCAGTGTGAGAAAAGCAAGTAAAAAACTGAAGGGTCCTAAAAATGTCTTCATGATCAATTCTCAAATGGACCATGTGACCTACTCTGGAAACCACTTTGCGTGCTCCTCCCAGGGGTCATCATCCGCTCCCCAATGGCCCAAGCAGCCGCCGCAACAGAAGCAGAGCACATGGTCCTTTGTACCTGGGAAAAACAGAATTTGGCAATTCCAGGACAGATGCTTAAATATGAAAAAGGACTCGTCACACATTTTATCGAATAGGAAATTGGTACTGTACATCTTACGGTATCATCATCCTGAAACAGCTGAAGATTTCTCATGACTCACAGACTGTAATAAAAGACTCAGATTTTTGTAATTCACTTGTTTTCAGTCAAAAAGTAGCTGTACTATGACTGTAGAAGTTTAAGTTTCTTTAATTTACCCTTATCCCATTGTATAGGTTTTCCATTAACTGTTGTCACATTTTAGGAATTCTGCATTATAATTATGCTCATTTAAAGACCTATTACACAAAGGTTACACAATTAACTACTTTTTTATTAGCTTCCTAATTCTGCTCATGTGTTTCTGGATAGATTTCTGGCCTCCTTGGAATAAAGCAAGTTTTATCTTGGACATTTTCATGAATCTTGCTAAATTGTAAACTTTGTCATGCATTGTACTGGACCCTGATGCTAATTTTATAACGAGGGGTCTGGGTTATTCAGCTTAGACACAAGCAACCCCAAGAGATGAGCAACTAGGTACAGTACATCCCTGGGCTAAAAGGACTGTTCTGCTCTGACAGACCCAGAAGTGCTTTCTTCAGCTTTGAAAAGAGAACATTATAAGGGACAGAGACCTTTTCCAAGCATTAAACATCATTAAGTGATCAGAGAAAGACTACCCAGTGAAATCCCAAGAGTCTGTGAACAAGCAAATCATTTAACTGTTCCCATCCCCTCTGTCAAAATATTTTGATGAATCACAGAAATTGTTTTGATTTTCAAGTACCACAGAACTCTGTAAAAGCATCACATATCCTATAGCTCTTCCTTATGGAATCTGTAATGAGCATTGTTTGAAAACACAGACAGGTTAATAATCACATAGAATTGGTTTTTGGCAGTTCACAAGATTTGTTATTCACAAGGCTGCACAGATCTCCTGTTCCAACACTATCTTGTTGCTTCACCCATTTTGTTTTGTTTCTTCTCTTGAGCAAAGATTTCCGAGCAAACGCACTGATGCAAACCAGATCGTGACTGCTCACACCAAAACAAACAAGGCTTGGCTTTCTTTAAGAGTGAGATATACAGTTCCAAAGGTCGAGACATATCAAAGCTAAAGAGTGACACTTTCTCCTTTTTCTTTCTAAAGGTAGTGTGTGCAGATGAGCGCAGGTTGCAGTTTGCATAATGAGGACTGTCTGTGGAGAAGAAGGCAGGGGAAGCCAGCGAGAGAGGAGCTGTCTGGAAATTAGAGGGAAGGGCCGCTGGGGAGAGTCTGCTAGGAATATACTGTATGGACAGCGGAATAGCAGGATCTGCAGCCAGAGCAGGGCCAGAGCAGGGCAGTTTCCAAAGTGCTGGAAAGAGGATTCCAAGTGATAAAATCTGGATCTGTGGTGGATCAGTGCGTGTTGAAGGTTAAAGGAAAAGGATATGGTTCAAAAAGGCTTGTAAGCAGTAGCCAAAACGTGGTTAGAGCTAAATTTTTGAGCACCGGTCTAGTAAAGAGTCCTGCCTTAAATACTCCGCTTAATGCTATGACTGACTGGTGGTTTGGCTGCCTGATTGATAAACAATTGGCCTAATTTAGAGGAGACCCAATTTCATTGGCTCGGGGCTGGAAAGGTGAAAGCAAACGTGCTGATTGCCCCTGTATAGACATGACAGCATGTGCACAATTCCAACTTAACATTTTGTTTATATACTGTACTTTCATATTGGATGTCCCATTCAGGGGAAAGTCATCTGCTCTGTAGTCCACTTAATGCTATCGAAACCGGGATGAACTCTGGCCCCATGTGCTCTTGTGGACTTTTACCTTACTTTCGTTATCGTAATTTATGTTCTAAATAAGTTTTCCCCACTTCATGAGATATTCTTTCTACGTATTTCAGTAAACACCGCACATGTCCAGCCCATAGAAATGCTTGTTCTGAATATTGCCTGGGAACATGCCTTCTCCGCGATGGTAAACTTAGGACAGTAATCCACTTTACACTACCACTGACATCACAATGGTTTGTTAATGAGTTTGTGGCAACAGCTTCTGCCCTCTGAGCTTGGCAATAATCAGATTAATTTGCCCTAGTGTTAATGCTCTGTGTGGTGATCACAAAGCTGATCCTCAGTGTTTTTGTGAACTTTTTTTTTGTGAAAATTGTTATATACTCAAACACCTGTGAATTTAGAAGGATCACTGCCAAAGCGTCAAATTAACAAAAGAAGCAGAGAAACTGGGAGTAGATAGCAGCAAAAAAGTGTTATCTATATTTTAACTACAGAAATCAGACTTAAAAGTGGCTCACATTACATTTGAAATTCTATTTTCTAAGAAGACCAAGTTTACCCAATTCTTAGCTCTGCAATGGCAATTCTTTTTTATAGCTTTACTATTCATTTCTTTCTGGAATTCTTTTTCACATTGAGGGCTCTGTTGCTACTGATCTTAATATACCAATGTAATAATATCTAGATTATACAATATATGGAGGTATATTCATCTCAATGTTTAGTGTTCCATCTTAACGATAAAAGCTGGCCCTACCTGTATAGAAAAACCCAGCTTCAGCAAGCAAGCTGGGATCAAGCTGGGCATAAAAGGGCCAGTTGTGGAAGGACTCCACTCGCTGCTGTTTGGTATTGAATTTTTGGCCGCTGTTCCTGCTCCAGGCCTCCGATACCTGTACACGGACATCATATTTTGGTATATTCCCCACATCGTCACCTTTCACAAAACCACAATTGGGGTCCCATTCCCGGTGCTTTTCCATAGCTCTCTTCTGCAAACCAATCTGCCCAATAACCACACCGCAGCAGAAGCACTGCATAGCCTTGTCTCCCTCAATGGAGTAAAATCCAGCCTCTGCCAATCCTGACGGATCTCCGAAGGCTTCTGACTCTTGCATTGTTTTAATCCTCTCCAGTTCGCTCCTCATTTGGTGGTTGTAGCGTCGCCCCTTCTGTTTCCTGACGGTCTGGTACATTTTTTCATTGTCTTCTTGAATTTTAATGGAGTTGTGGTTAAGAAATGAAAATACATGCTCACTGAAGTCAACTTCCTTACGAGAAAAGTAATCTTCTTCTTGTGGGTCCTGCGTAGTGTTTGGTATTTCTGCAGCCATACTAGATAGATCGAGTTCAACAGGTCTGATTTTCCTTTATTCTGCCAAGACAGACTTCTGCTAAAAGAGCAGGATGAATCAGCAGGCCTGCAGGAAACACAGAAATAAAAACACTGAAAATTATAAGTACTGTGATATCTCTGTGAGCCAAAGCACTGGATCTTAATATTAGTTCCAAGTATTCAGAAACTTTTATATTTTGCATTGTCATTGGTGCTTTTCTTTAGTGAAAGTAATATTTTAAGGGGAAAGAGACTTTAATTTTTGAATACTGTATACACTGCTGTGTGAAGAAAGTCACTTTTCATTAGTGTCCTATGTCCTGAAGGGCAATACTCTAAAAGTGTAAAGTTATTTTATAATATAGTAAGTGGGATATATATATAAAACTTTCCAGTGGTTCCACTGGTTTCAATACCATGTTCCATCTTTTCACTTCTATTTTGTCTGATATTAACCTCCAAATAAACAGAGGGAACTGGAGCCTAACCAGGCGAGCAACAGGCGCAAGGCAGAATACACCTTGGACAGGACACCAGACATCCCAAGACTCCCGGAAGTTACAGGAGTCTCCCGGAAATCAGCATCTCCTCCCAGACTCCCGCAAGTGATCCATAATCTCCCGGAAATCGCCCCCCCGCTCCCAAATGTTTCTGCTCGCGAAACCCCCAATCCGAAAAATCATCAGCAAATTAATTCATTATGTAATATGACCTTGAGCCATCTGAGAATCTGCTAAACACGGCGCATCTCTGTACAACGAACGTTTGCAAAGAAAGTGAGATTATTCAACTGGACTGGTCAGTTACAGTATTTCTAGTGTATTACATACTGTATATATTATAGTATCTTTCAGCGAATTATTTAATTATACAGCTGTGACCCAAACCCCCAGTTCCCAAGTTTCACAAAATCACATTTGGCACTCATTTGTACTATTAAATCAACAGAAATGCAAGTTCCTTGTGCGGAAAAAGTTAGTACACCCCCAACCTTTATCACTGCATCAAATGCCTAAAATGAGAAACAGGTGCACCAAAACAGGTGCAAATGATCAGAACGTCATTAGAGAGTAATTTGGAGGGCATTGCCTTATATAAATATCAGAAACCTGTGGTTTGGTTCGGTCTTAGCAACGTGTGTGGTCAAGATCAAAAGCGCTCTCGTGGCTCTCAGAAGAAAGATTGTTGATGTCTAGGACTCTGGGAAGGGTTCTAAAGCCATTTCCAAGCAATTTGTAGTCAATCACTCCACTGTCTAAAAGTAAAAAATTTCAAACCACTGGCAATCTATCCAGGCCAGGTTGTCTCATCAAATTCAGCACAAAAGCTGACTGAAAAATACTGCAGGAAGTCTCCAAGAACCCCAGGATATCAACAAGGGATTTACAGGCAAGTCTTGTCTCAGTCAAAGTGCATGAGTCAACCATCTGAAAGAGACTGCACAACTTTGCCCTACATGTGAGGTCAGGAAGGAAGAAGCTTCTGCTTTCAAAAAAGAATATAAATGCATGACTGAAGTTTGCCAGACAACACCTAGGTGAAGATCACAACTAATGGAACAATGTGCTCTGGGTGGATGAGATGGAGGTAGAGCTGTTTGGCCACAATGCCAGATGTCTTGTTTGGTGAAAACCAAAAACTGCCTTTGACTGAAAGAACCTCATACCAACTGTAAAGCATGGTGGTGGAAGGATTATGGTTTGGGGTTGCTTTTCTACCTCAGGGCCTGGCCAGCTTGCCATCATAGTCAGCCATGAGTTGTACATTGCACCAGAGTACTTGAGGAGAATGCGAGGCCATCTGTCAAAAAGCTAAAGCTGAAGCTGAACTGTAAGTGGACTTTGCAACAGGACAAAGACCCAAAACACTCAACCAAATCCACAAAGGAATGGCTCAAAAAGAAGAAAGGGAGGGTTATGGAATGGCCAAAGTCAAAGCCCAGATTTTAACCCCATTGAAATGCTGTGGGGGGGACTTGAAGTGGGCAGTACAGGAATTCTGTAAGGAGGAGTGGGAAAAAATGTTTCCAAGTTGGTGTAGGAGACTGATGGACAATTACAAGAAATGCCTACAGATGGTGATTTCTGCCAAAGGGGGCAACACCAGCAATTGAAGCTGGAGGGTGTACTTATTTTTTCCACAGCAGACAATTGCATTCCTGACTTTTTTGTTGAATAAATGATGGCAAAGAATTTTCATTTGTAAAATCAGATCACAATCATCAATCAATATTGTTCAAATGATCAAATACTGTATCCATACATGTAAATATGTTGAGAAAAACACATACCTTTTCAGGGGTGTACATACTTTTTCACTGTATATGTGCACACTCGCACCACTATCAATCTTCCCAGAAGGAAGTTAACTTCCCTTGTCTTTCGACTGAGAGGAGACCAAGACAAACACTGGGAGGACATGCATACTGCATGCAGATAACACCTCAAGTCGGGAATTGAACCCCAAGCCTCAGAGCTGTAAAGCAGCAATGCTAATCACTGCGCCACCATGCTGAACCGCAAACACCTACTTCTATGCAAAGTGTACAATATAACTCGAATAAACAGCATCTTGCTGATTTTCTATTTTATTTTTTAGAAAAACGTTATTTGTACCGAATTTGCGTTTAAGATTTTGCTCATTATCCTATTATTTGCAGTATTGCTTAACACAAATTTATGGAAGCCCGTTTCCGCCAGGGAGTAAAAGAAAAAACGCCCTATGGTATCTCAGAATTGCGACTTAGGAATTCTGAGTTGCTAAGTCGGAATTCTGAGATACTAAGTCTCAGAATTGAGTAATTAACTTAGTAAATCAGAATTCCGAGTTACTAAGTCGGAATTCTGAGATACCATAGCGCGTTTTTTTTTTACTCCCTGGCGGAAACGGGCTTCCATACAAATTACTACTCCCACGGATTTATAATGTAACGTTGAATGTGATTATTACTTAATGTAAGCATGTATTTATTTAAGCTTATAAACAATATTAATTTGAAATAAAACATACAATGAAAGTCAGGAGAGAAATGCCATTATGTCAGTTTTAAGATATAAATATTACGATAGCTGAAACAGCAGGCTATCCTGTAGTTTCTCAAGTAACTTAATGATCCCTGAGTGAAAGTTCTAGGATACCGCCCCTCAAAACTGAAACATGACCCTCTTACTGACTGTGCCAGCGCTAGGAGATCTCCACCAGAAGCAGGTCCAAATGAATCCTGTTTGGTCCAAGATAATACTTCCAGAGTCACACATTAGTGATATTTGGTCACAGAACGTCCAGATGAGGAAACTTCACTTCCGGCTTCTTACTGGAAGAGTTGTATTTTGCCTTCGCCTGCGGGCAGAGAAACTTCCCAGTTGTTCTGTCACTTGAAAAACCGAAGGTAAGACTAATTTTAGCAGCGGTTTAATCTATTTTTGTGTTTCTAACAATTAATTCGGAACCTCTCTTTTTCCCTTTGCTTGTACATTTAAATAAAGTACTGCGTATACAAAGGTGCGTTTAATCTTCCGTATTTTTGCTCCATTCGTAGTCAGGCATTTGCGGAAGAAAGTCAATCGTAACCCTGTACTTACTGTAAGTAGACGCTTATAGTTACATGCTACATAACACATACTGTACTACATAAGATCAATTTGTATTTATCTTCATAATTATTTTACTGTTTATTGGAATGCTTATTTATTTCAGCTTTAAAACAATATTGATTTGAAATACAGTATAACATGAAAGGAAGGAGAGACTTGTCATTATGGCAGTTTTACGATAGCTGAAACAGCAGGCTGTCCTGTAGTTTCTCAAGTAACTTAATGATCCCTGAGTAATAGCTGACAATACCGCCTCTCAAAACTGAAAAATGACCGTCTTACTGACTGTGCCAGCGCTAGGAGATCTCCACCAGAAGCAGGTCCAAATGAATCCAGTTTGGTCCAAGATAATACTTCCAGAGTCACACATTAGTGATATCCTGGTCGCAGAACGTCCAGGTGAGAAACAGTAACTTCACTTCCGGCTTGTTACTGGACGAGTTGTCTTTTGCCTTCGCCTGCGGGCAGAGAAACTTCCCAGTTGTTCTGTCACTTAAAAAAACTGAAGGTAAGACTAATTTTAGCAGCGGTGTAATGTATTTTTGTGTTTCTAACATTTAATTCGGAATCTGCTCTTTTTCTCCTTGCTTGTACATTTAAATTCAATGTATTACCTTGTGCATTTACAAATGTGGCGTTCAGTAAAAACCTAATCACTTCATAGTGTACTCAAGCATTTCATTTTTATTTCCAGCTTTTTGGCTTAGAGAACCCTTTCAAAAATTTCAAAAACCTGAATCAGATCATTATGAAAGCAGTTCTGTATTGGGTATAACTTGAGTCACCTTATGGTTTTGGAAGAATGGAAACAAATATGTTCAAATATATTGATAGGACTTAATGTAGATTTTATACATATTTTAGAGTGCATTAATGAGAAGAGCTCATAAAGTTCAGCTTTCACATTTTATCTCTTTGTCTTCTGGTTTTCAACATACCTCCCCAAACGTATGTTCTTCTTTAAGTATTCAACGGGTACTTGTTATGAGACATTAGTGTATTTCAATAGTTAACATGTTAATATTTAATTTGTATTAGTTATAGGCCTAAGCGATGTAGTTTTTTCCCCCAAATTATGTCAGCAGCCATATCACCCTGAAACTCACAACAGGCAACCCACTCAAGCTAAGCAGGTGTGAGCCTGGTCAGTACCTGGATGGGAGACCTCCTGGGAAAAACTAAGGTTGCTGCTGGAAGAGGTGTTAGTGGGGCCAGCAGGGGGCGCTCACCCTGTGGTCCATGTGGGTCCTAATGCCCCAGTATAGTGATGGGGACACTATACTGTAAACAGGCGCCGTCCTTCGGATGAGACGTAAAACCGAGGTCCTGACTCTCTGTGGTCATTAAAAAAATCCCAGGGCTCTTCTCGAAAAGAGTAGGGGTGTACCCCGGTGTCCTGGCCAAATTTCCAATTGGCCCTTACTAATCATGGCCTCCTAATAATCCCCCTCTATGAATTGGCTACATTACTCTGCTCTCCTCCCCACTGATAGCTGATGTGTGGTGAGCGTTCTGGCGCACTATGGCTGCCGTCGCATCATCCAGGTGGATGCTGGTGGACCACATTGGTGGTGGAGGGGAGTCCCCATTACCTGTAAAGCGCTTTGAGTGGAGTGTCCAGAAAAGCGCTATATAAGTGTAAGCAATTATTATTATTATTATTATTAAATAGGCTAAAGAGTCTCTGGTTTGTGAGAAGCTTATATATTACCAAAAAAATCAGAATACTTTTTTGTTATCCATATGACATTTCATGTTCTTAGAGCACTATGTTCATGGCACAACCTTGAAAGAAGTGGGTTTTTAAAAGAGAGGAGGCCATCTGGTTGTCAGTAGCCTTGTGATCCAAGGATCTCCTCAAGCCATTTTTTGGAGGATCACATCTTGGTCTAAACGCCCTTCACTTTTTGTGGAATTAAAAGTCTTCATTCCTTTTATGATTTACAATTTATCTCTTTTAAGGTCATCACCATATTATGCATTGGTAGTCAAAGTAAAACATTTTTTATTACTTTTGACTTCCATCTATGCATTTTCTAAACTGCTTTAATCAGTACTGGGTCACTGTGGACACTGGAGCCTTAGCTGGCAGGCAGGATATACCCTGGACAGGACGCCAATCCATCATAGAGCACACACACTGACAAATACACACTCACACCAGGGCCAATTTTTCCCAGAAGCCAATTAAATAACCTGCCAGTACGAGTACCGGGACTATGGTGGACTTTGATGTGGAGGAGTTTTACCAAATAATGCTTTGTCAACATAATCTGTGTTGAATTAATGACTAGACTCAAGCAGTCGCTTCCACTATCTCCCCAACAGACTCTACTCCAAGCTCAACTAAATTCTTTCTGAAACCCTCTTATATACTGTACAGTTGAATGCAAAAGTTTGGGCACTCCTGCCCAAATTACATGTTTTGTTTATTATTTTTATTGAAAAGAAGTTAACACAACCTCTGCAGTGGACAAACTTAAACTTGACATATTACTGCGAATTGTAATGCACGTTTGCTATTTCTTTTAACAGATTGGGAAAAAAATAACTTTTGCATACAACTGTACAGATAATCCTTTATGCACATTTACACCCTATTATCAAATAATTAAACAATTAGTGACTACATTACAGTTTTTAAAAGTCATTGTGGGAGTGTTCTTTACAGCATTCCTTGGTGGCACCATGGTTACTACAGTCCTCCACCAGACAATCCACCATTGTACCCACAGATAATAAGCTAATCGAAAGGTAAGCCAGCTGAGTGGCTAGATTGCATTTTAACATTGATGATTAGGTTAATTACTTTTTTTCAGAACATGGAAGAAGCCCATCCTGAAAGTGAGGACACCTTCCCTGATATGGATCTGAAGGACTGGGACCTTCAGTACTCTCCTTTTTTCAGTGTTGAAGCAACTTCAGAGTTCTACAAGACAAACCTAAGACAAGTGTTCAAAAAAGGCTCACGTGGGTACAATCAGAAACTGAGAAGTGAGCTGACCAGGCTGAAATCCTTTGACAATTTCCCATCTCTTTCCCCCTTTACCCCAGAAGAGCTGGCCAGTGCCGGTTTCTTTTCCCTGGGGCAGAAGCCAGCTGTGCAGTGCTTCTGCTGCGGACTGATTGTCGTTATTGCAAGTTTCCAGCCCCCTCAACAGCTGCACCTCAAATATAGGCAGGATTGCGGCTTCCAGCAAGGGCTGGATGTGGGAAACATTGGCAAGTATGAGATCAGAGTCAAAGCCCTTGCATCTGAAGTGATGGAGGTCCCAGCACATTGCGCGGAAGAAACATGGAGGTTGGAAACCTTTGCTCACTGGCCCTTTTATTGTGAAACCAAGCCTTCTTTGCTGTCGGATTGTGGCTTTTACTACACGGGTAAGAAGCAAATTTTGAAGCTGGTGTTGGGAGGCTCCTGAGAGGCCCAACAACTCAAAGCATAGTGCAGAATGCAGCTTTTCATATAAGTATGTGAAATATAATGTAGCATAATATAAGCCTTTCATTGCACTTGTGCATATGACAAAGAAAGAAAGAGCTGAACTTTGATCCTGTAAGCCAAAGACTGCTGATTTTGCCAAGGATTCCTCAACTGGTGCTGTTATTTTTGAGCCTGGGCCTTGCATTGTAAGAGAGGCTCAAAGCCTATGCCACCAGCGGCCTCCAGATACTTGCTGGCAGTGTTTTCTGAGAGTGCTGCATCTGTCCAGTGCCTCAACCGCTTTGTGGGTGCTCTGGGCTTGCAGTTTGAATGAAGCTATGGTGATGGACATTAGAGGATGGGCTGTAGTGGTGCTCCATTAGAGAGATTATTAATGAGAGGAGGCCATTCAGCTTATATAGCCTGTTCGGTAATTTTTTGCTATAGTATTTTTTGCTGTTGATCTTTTTCCTATTGCTGGGGATCTCCCAAGGTAGGTTGTTCATTATCCCCACAGCCATATGTGAAAAGGTCTTCTCAGATTGAAATCGACCATGTACTGTATGTAATTTCTACTTGAGACCTGTGGTTCATGTTTCACTGATGATATCGAAGTTAACTCAATTGATTCTATCAATGCCTTTAAGTATTTTGAGTAAATTAACCAAGGAAGGGGTTTAATTTCCCACTTTTTCCTCACATGAGAGATACGATCGTATCTGACATGGTAGGGGTATGGTTCCCTAGCGATAACTACTGTACATTCATTTTTGTTAAGAAAGCACAATCTTAGTTGCACATGGAATGGCACATATAGAAGGATAAAGAGTGAAAACACACAGGGAAGGTACCTTTTAGGATATATGCAAGTAAATGTTTGACCTTGGCACATATCATGATGTGTAGCCCTGCCTCAGGATATTGTTTGAGCAGTGGTCTCACTAAAAAGCCACATTCAGGGGTATATGAGATTAAAGAAGAAAACTCTCAGCTAGACATGCCCCACCACATCATAAGGTAAGAGCAGATTTGTGATAAATATACAAAAATGAACCATTTTAAAGAATAAAGAAGTCACAGCATCTGTATAACACACTGTATAAATAAGAATAGATATATACATGTAGAAGAAGAAAAAGTAATTGTATTTATGGATTTAGCCTTTGGCCTCAGTAGAATATGAGGACAATGGAGTCCTCTTCTTTACATTCCACTCCTTTAGTGTGACAGTGTTTCTGCATTTAAGAAGACATGAATACCTCAGAAAAAAACCATCAGAGATGCAAATGGAAAAGCTCATTTCTTCTTCCCTGAATTTTTTTTATTGATTAATCTAAATTCCAGTTTATTGAATTGAATACAACTGTATCGCCATTTACGGTCTTATTCTTTTCTTTCTTGTTTCCACGTTATCCCAGGTGTTAAAGATTACGTCCGGTGCTTCTCGTGTCAGGGGGTGCTGGGAGACTGGGAGGTGGGCAGTGATCCCTGGCAGGAGCATGCCAAGTGGTTTCCAGGGTACGTTAAGGGGCTCTGGACACGACGACCAGGGTTTTCGTCTGCCATGTGCTGTCAGTGCTGATCAATGCATGAGTGCATAACTCTTCTAGTCTGACAGGTTGACCAAACAAGATCACCCAGTGATCTTGCATTTTGTACCTCATAAAATGAATAATGACTAAGACTGGCTATGCTAGGAGTACCTGAAATTAAACACATTACAGAGAAGCAGCTGAACCACTAATGGTGCTGTATGCCCTTAGACATGATTAAGTTAACAAAATAGATCCAAGTAACTGTAGATTAATAAGTCTGGTTTCTATTACATGTGAGGTTACGAAAGCAATTCGTCGAACTAGAGGATTACCCATATAAATAATATCCAGCATGGATTTACTGTAGAAAAAGCAGATCTGGCGTCCTGACCAACTTGTTAGAGTTCTTAGAAGAACTAACAACAGTAACAGAAATGCTCTGGCAATGTAGTCAGTTTGGCACTCCTGTTTGCCTTGAGAGATAAGATGAGAGTGTCAGGTTTAGATCAGTGTTTAATGCCTGTCAGTTTCAGACACCCAATTTGGATGTTGTTCGCAAGCCTTAGGTTGTCAAAAGTTATTAAATTGTCTACAGATAATGATAATTGTCTACGATAAAGGGATACATTTTAATTCTTTGAATTCTATTATGAATTAAAATATTATATAATTAAGTTTTTTTTTGTCTCTGACATTTAGCCTAAACACAGACAGTTCCTGTGCTTATGGCTGTTTTCCATATTTGAATATATCACAGCTTCAACCTTCATCTATATTTACTGCAGTTTTTCTGTCCCTACCATTGGTTTAAAGCACTGTGTTAGGAGAAACCTGTTAATCTCTGTGTTTAATTGATTTAACTTAATCCCTAAATGTTGGCATTAAACAGGATAAATCTGTGTTTATATATTACATTCTTACTGTAACATATACCCAGAATTTCTTAGTTTTATAAGGTGTTATCTTAAGCAGTCATGCTGATTTCATGTTGAGGTTTCATTGTAAATTGTCCACCTTGTGCTGGTCATTCAGAGAATGTCCTTGGCAAGTCTGTGGAATGTCAGTATTCCTGACCATGCACCTGACTAGTTAAGATAAAGGTTAAAATCTGGATATTGCTATACCTGTGTTATGTGTTGCTGTTTGATATAAGATACTGTAATTGATAGATGTTATTATGAAATCCGTATACACTTTATCATTATTTGGAATAGTTGTTGAAGGCTGAAATATGAACTTGAAAATGCACAAAGTATTTTTGGAATTATGGAAGAGAAAGAAGAGTCCACTAGTTGGGATAAATATGGTTAGAATCCTAAAGCAACATCGTAATTTACAGTAACTGTTTTGCTTTGTTGAATGCATTTCTATGAAAATAGTTTTTACTATTTTAAACATGTTTGAAACTGTGGGCATGGCAACTTTTGTCATTTTTTAAAGTGCCGTCTTTGTGGAATGACAGTTTATCAGTACCTAGATTTATATAAAAAAAACATACCTAGATTTGCATGAGATCATTAAAAAGTGATTATATTTTTAGATGCAAATTGATGCTGTCTTGGCCCTTCCAGGATTTGTAGGGTTGGGGGATTTGAAGCCCTGACACAACATTTCTCTACATTTATTATATTAAAATCAACTCTAACTCTTGCATTTGCAGGTTTATGTTTTCAAAGACTGTGTGTGAACCTTATCAAGTATACAGTCCTGTTAAATCGTAGTTTCAGTAGATTACTATGACTGAGACAGATTTAGACCTGTTGAACAAACCCTGCATTTACATTTCTATTTCTGTGAATCAGGGTTTTCTGGATTTTCTCTACGATTTCTAGGTTTTTGTAACCTGAAGGTATTTCAGATTCATCCATTAAGGGATTATTAACAAGCTCATTAATTAATATCTGATGTGCTCCACCAGTTTCACTTAAAGGTTCTATACTAACTTTCTTTAATATCTGATGTTAGATAGTATGCTAAAAGTGTCATGTTGGTGTTTAAACTGTACCCATCATTTAATTAAAATATTTGTAAGTAGCAGAATGATTTTTGAAACCCTACAATTAGAATGTTTCAAGGTACAAGTCAAGGCAAAATCTGTTGTGTTACGGTGTCTTTGTTTGCAAGTACAGATTCTGCTGAAGTCATGGCATATGCTCTTCATGATACAAAATGGTGTGCTCTTTAGGTGTGATTACCTCCGAAGCCGACTGCCAGAAAATGTGATCTCCCAGCATGGACATTCATACAGTGGATTTCATGGACTAACGGTATACACCGGACTTTATTTAAACTTAGTTGAAAACCATTCTAAGAAGCTACAGTGTATCGAGCATTAAGGAGTGCTTAGTTTATGCACAAATGTGTTGTGCAAAATCTACATCCCCTTGTGGTTGAAGCTGTTGCCTAGGTTTTATAACGTCATAACATCACTTTATTAACCCTATACAATTCCTTGCATTAGGAATTTGTCTTTTCGCATACCCCAGCTTGCTCTCCATAAGACACACAGACAGACACACAGATAGGGAGCGAGCCTGGGGTCAGAGCGCAGGGTCTGCCATTGTACAGCGTCCTTGGAGCAGTTGGGGTTAAGGACCTTGCTCAGGTGCCCAACGGAGAAGGATTCCTCTGCCGGCTGCGGGATTTGAACCTTCCAGCCACAGGCGCAGATCCTTAACCACAGTTTTGCAATATAAATAAGAAATCGGCATACTTGTCCTACTGAACTCATGAAACCATTTCAAAAGTCAAAAGGATGTACAGTATATTATTGTAGGTTTATTGTGGAAAGTTGCTGAATAGTACAGGTGGGTGCTGCGCTTCAGAGGTACTGTAGATGGAAATCACTATGTAAATACACAAAATACACAAGTTTTGTGTATGGAAAATTACATGTGTGTCTGGGTCCAGGATTCAGTCTGTTTTCCTTCTGTTGCCTTCCAGAGCAATTATTTGAATTGCACATATATAATATGACAATATAGAATCAATTCTGGAACACATGTGGTAATGTAATTAAGAATGGAGCAATTACAAATTCATAACAAGACAGTTGATCTGGCCCACACATAGCAATGCCATAATAGTGCAGTGGTGAATGTAATAGAGTTCTGCATATAATTCAAGCAAGAATCTGTCAACAGGCTGTTTCAAACCACTTCAGATGTTGCAGAAATACTGCTAGTGTACTTCAGATGCAGGCAACGGCAAATTCTATACAGGATGTCACTGAGCTGTGGACAGATCTGGTCTGTGGACAAGAAGAAGTTTTGTAGTATTCCTATAATGCTGTAATGATAATCATGGTGTGGAAAGGTGTAAAATCTACTCAAAGAAACAGCTCACGATTATTAACAGCATGCTAACAGTGACAGATTACAGGAACTTCATTCATCCAGCACTTAGAACTGGTCACCATTGTAATAGTGTTCCACACTACCGTGACCGATATTTTCTTGAGTTTGAGTTACATGTAGAATATTGTACACAGACCTCATATTTTATCCTTTGTAAAGAACAGATGAGTAAGAATTAAGTTTTGGTTCACTCTGCTTTAAATTCAGCCTTTTGTGTGTCTTGGATTAGTTTCCTAAAACAATTCCAAAATAGTTACAGTACCTTTGAAAATAAGAGCAAATACGATAATAAAGTGGAAACAAAGACAAAATGAAATGAAAGCACTATTTACTGCTGTGAATTGTATTTAAAGCTCAATTTAAGAATAGGTCATAGCTTTTTAGCACCACAAGTAAGACCATGTTCATTAATGCTTTTAAATGTTTTTCCCTTAATTTTTTTAATATTTCAGTTGGTCCTTTTAAACCAACTGAAATATAGAAACCTTCTTTTTCCCTACAGGCTAAAAGTTACATTTCATCCTGCAGAATGACTGGAGACGCTGAAGTGATGCATGCTATCCAAGGTGAGGGAAAGATACAGGTGTAAGCTTCCTTGGTTCAGTCTTTGCATTGGGTTGAGTGAAAGAATCTGAAACAACAGATATCAGTTTCAAATGTCAGTTTACATCTATATCCTATTCACTTCTGCAAAATATAGTGATTCTTTGGCATAGCCAGCTCTTTCTTCAATGATTTGAGAACAGTTAGTTCCGAGTTGTATAATTTTGAAGTACTTTGTACTGCTGGGGAGCGGATTGAATTGTACAGAATTTTTCCGTGCTAGAACTCAAACAAAATGACCTGCACTCCTGGTCCAGGAGAGCTGGACGATCTTTGTCTCGTCATTCTTAGTGGATCTTGCTGAATCAGTTATTGTTTCTTGATTAGAAGTGTGTTCCATGTTTTTGTCATTGAGGGGTTTGGGTCTCCTTACCCGCTGCACTTACTGTAACTGTTTAATTTTTTCTTTCCAAACCTTGAAATTTCACTGCATCTCATTCTTTATTTGTTAGGGAACTTTTAAATGTTTATACTGTAACTATTCATTCTTTGATTGATCTGTTTTATTGGTTGGATTTCTTTTGACAGGGGTCTTTGTTCAGTCTGTAGTATCAGAAGTGCCCTTCTTTCATGTATAGTTACCAGTACTTCAAAGCAGAGTACTCTCAGTCTGTCCCACTGTTACTAGATAAATTATCTTTACTAATAGGTGACCAATCCATGATACTGAACTCTCCCATTATAAACTTAGATTTGGGAAGGCTCTCCTGCTTCAATTGAAGTCATGCTCATTGAAAATTTGGATTCCCAAAAAGGAAATTCTGAACATGGGTACATTGTTTTCTGAACAAGTAATATTTGAAATAATAAAAAAACAACATGTATGGTATTTTCACTACCAGATTCAGGAGTTAAGGTTTCCCTCTTCCTCTGAAAATTAACAGTGTTCAGTTTCGGTTCCTTAATTGAAATGCAGATGTTTTGGTTGTGAAATACCATCTTACATGATGGAATTTCCATGTTTATTAATTGTTTCTATGCTAGTTTTCTGTAGTTAAAATTGGCATTTTATGCATTTAAGGTTTAATGTATATGGTACTCAGTTTTTAATTCATTGTCCCTAAAAGTCCCCTCATCTGAGGAGATAATTTGCAGTATGTTTGAGGATGAAGATTCTCGAATGGAGTCCTTCACCCAGTGGCCAAGTAGCTCAACCATCCTCCCCAGACAGTTGGCCCAGGCCGGATTCTTCTACACAGGTAATAATAATAATAATAATAATAATTGCTTACACTTATATAGCGCTTTTCTGGACACTCTACTCAAAGCGCTTTACAGGTAATGGGGTCTCCCCTCCACCACCACCAATGTGCAGCATCCACCTGGATGATGCGAAGGCAGCCATAGTGTGCCAGAACGCTCACCACACATCAGCTATTAGTGGGTAGGAGAGCAGAGAGTAATGAAGCCAATTCATAGATGTGGATTATTAGGAGGCCATGATTGGTAAGGGCCAATGGGAAATTTGGCCAGGACGCTGGGGTTACACCCCTACTCTTTTCGAGAAACGCCCTGGGATTTTTAATGACCACTGAGAGTCAGGTGAATGTTCTTCTACAGTAAGTCTGTTAGAAAAGGGGTACTTTGCCTTGTTTACCTTGCTGAGACATGTTCAGATAATTCTCAGTGACTGTTCAAATCAAAATGGAATCATTTCAAAACCTTTCTGAAACAAGTCTAAGGACAGTACTCTGAAACTTAATAAGCTTCTAATAATAAGTAATAAGCTACTGATAAACTTTATAGTCCTCCTCCAGTTCTCAAAGTAGTTTTCTTTAGGCTCCTTCCATGACGCTAATGTATGTAAATTATACAAAATTCTATTTTGTTTGAGCAATTTATTGACTTCGGCAAAAATAAAATACATCTGGAAAAACAAAACACTGCAGTCCAATACTTCTTCAACATGCTCCTGTTTTTGTGGTCACTTACTTTTTACAAAACAGTTTGCTGACTTTTTCTGGCACTGCTGTCACACCGCCGGAAACTGCTGAATATTTCTAAAGTCTTAAGCAACTCCGGGTATTGCTGTGGACGGCAAAACAATGATGTTTCTGTTATCCAACTTTAACATTGCTCCATAACAGTTTGTAGTATTTCGAAAGCTTGTAATACAGCTCCTTTTCATTTGTTCCCAAGCATAGTGTTCTCTCCAAAAATTTGGTATTATTTTCACATCAATAGAAGTTGGCTTCTTGAAGCTTAATCACTCAAGTCACTGAAATAACTTGTCATAAATTAATGAATTACTGAAAAATGTAATAGTCAAGGTCTATAAATAACTATGGTTCAGAAAATCACAACTGATAAAAAAAAAATGAATGCCAATTTATGTTCTGCCTGTAGGGAAAGAAGAAATTGTTCAGTGTTTTTGCTGTGGAGGACAGATATCACAGTGGGAAGAAACAGACCCAATACAGGAGCACCAGAATCAGTTTCCACAGTAAGTTATTCTTTCATCGGTGCATTTACGCTTGCTCGAAATTGGATTGTTTTGTACAAAGGTACTAGCACTTCCCTAGGTGTCAAAATGCCATAGGTCATTCTGCTTTTTTGGAGAATGATAACTGGAGTCTTCAGATTTGCAAACTGTGGTGTTCAGAGGAAGATAATTATGGAGTTTGTTGTGTGCCTCTTAGTCTACAGAAGTAAAGACTGTAGAAGACTGAAGGGTTTTTTTTGTCTGTGCCTGCTGCCTGGACTCACATTAATACTTGTGCCTGTGGATCGAACAAGCTATTAAGTTTATTATTAAGCATACCACCATGTTGAGGGCTGCAACATTTAAGGCTCAAACTTAATATCTCTTCATCGTTTCTGTTCAACCAATCCTTCCCAGTTGATAAAATGGAGAAAAGAATAATATGACTCAGGAAAATTTTTGAGGCCAAAAATTACACTTCACTTCTCTGTTCTTCTGTATAGTGATAAAGAGACAGCTGTTTCAAAAGTAATTTCTTTTTTTTCAGGTGTCAATATGTCAGAGACATCAACCTGTCTCCACGCCATGTTCTGACAGATATGGATGACAAGAGGGTATTTATTTCTGCGACTTTTAAAACAGCTTCAGAATTATTTTTCCTTCACAAAAGGTTCTAATTAAATACAAACATCTTATCCAAAGATAAGCTAGGCCTTTTCCCTCATTTTTCACTTTCCCTTCTTATAAAGTGCTGCTATGCAGCATAAGGGGCTTAGCTCAACACAAGGAGGAGCTCTTCACACATAAAAGAAAAGTGCCATTATTAAACTAGAGAGGTTGAAACAAGGAAAGATCCAGTTCCCAAAGACCTATGATTGCCTGTAGTTATAGGGCAAGGCAAATCTTTAAAAAAAAAAGGAGAAATCCTCACGAGATTCAGATTGGATATAAGTGTCTTCTGAATCTTTCGTTTTAATGCTCATTATCAGGTATAACAAAAGCATGTTGCTGTGGTAATATATCTATGTCTAGACCAGACATACTCTTATTTATGCTTAGAAGTGTTTACTTATTAGATGTATCTACTGGGAATTAGTGTGATTATTACACACATTTTTGGTAACTTTAGTGAAGTTTAGTACAAGTGATTCTATGAATTTCTAAACCCTAAAAAAGTTTGCTTTACCAAACTATGAATATATTCTAAATAGATTCTAACATTACTTGACTTATACAGTACCACCAAATATTTTTTCTCTCTTTTGTGATCACTGGTCAGGAAAGTTTTATATTGCTCAATAAAGACAGATTTGGACTTGCTTCTTTGTCGAGCCCTTTACAAGACAGCAGTTCACCTTAAAGTGTCATTATTTTATGAAGAAAAAAAATCTCAACCTTTCCTCAGTGAAGTGTGAGCTGAAGATTTAAGCTTTAAATTCTGTTTTCCAGGAGTGAAAGTTCAAGGCTTAAATACCTGTTTTATTTCAAAATCCATTGAATGCAAAATACAGAAGTGGTTAGAAGATGGATGGAAATCAAATCCATTCAAGTCTTTTTTAAATGCATCTGTGAGATACCACTTTATTTTGCTGACGCCTGTAAGATGTTATATGGTGTGGTCACTTCTTTGAAATCTTAAAGTATGAAGATGTCTGCACCCTGTATTTTTTCTGGCTTTGAAAGATATGTGAGGAAACCATTTTATTGTAAATGGTACCGGGCATTTAATGTATGTAAACAAACGACCTCTAAAAGGGAATGTAATTTGCTAGCACTTTGTATTGAGGAGATCACACGTAACAGGGTTTTGCTTGTTTCTTAGGCAGTAGCATCACAGTTGCCTGTTTGATGTTCCTTCTATACCCAAACTGTACATAGACAGTAAACCCAGTGGGGGTTCATTAATGTTTAAAGTGGTGCTGCAGTAACCACAGCAGATCATGAATTTGTGTTTACCACTCTAAATCTTCCAATTAGTAATATATTAGTGTCCTGCAATTTCTGTGTTTATTTTGTTGTTCTTTATACGTCTGTGGTATCTGAAAATCAAGACGACAAGTTATACATTTGTGTAATACCCTAATATTAGGGACATCTTATATTAATTTTGCCTTTTCTGAAAAACTAACCTTTCTCCTCACATTTTAGGAGATGCGCATAAATCCCGACGTCCCTGCTAGAAGTTTACAGCTGCCTTCCTCAGGTATTTAGATCCATATGTCTTTTTTAATATGCACTTACAGTAGATGAGCGTGGCAAGCCCAGCATTGTCGCAAAGCCCTTGTTGGGAGATGCATCAGTGTGGGGAGCAGCAAAGGAATGAGTACAAGCTAATTCCATCCTCAGAAGAAGGAAGAAGAAAGAACAACATTTCAGGTACAAAACCCCCAGGTATGAAGGAAAAAGAGCAGGTGGTTGGGAGGTAAGGACTGGGGAGAAAAGAAAAGGAATGAAAAACACCGTCTCCTCAGGCGTCGCATGACTCACCATTTTGTACGTAAATTTGACTTTTCGTAAAACCTCCCTTAGGTTCAAGTAATAAATGTATGAGTTTAAGAAAGTTTACATTATATACATAAAACTGTCCAGTGAGGTCCTTGTGCGAAGTGTCACCCTCAGGGTTCCTCACACTTACAGTACCGGTCAGAAGTTGGTACACCTTCCTTGAAACCAGGTTTTTCAATATTATCTGTGCTTTAAACTGGATAAACGTGTCTATAAACACATAATATTTAATGACATGATATGTGTACTAATAATCTTAAGTGAACTGCATTGAAAATGTTAATTTTTCATTTTCAATAAAAGGAAGAGTAAGAGACTTCTCAGGGTAAAAAAACAGAGATACTGGACCTTTTCCCATTCAGTTCCCATTCCAGGCAGTGATGCAACCAGTCAGGATACTCTCAGTAGTGCACCTGTAAAGGTTGCCCTGGATATGTGATGGCATGCCAAACTTCTTTAGCCTCCGGAGAAAGAATAGGCGCTGCCGTGCTGTTTTGACCATGATGTTGGTGTGGTGGGTCCAGGTTAAGTTCTCTGTGATGTTAACTCCCAGGAACTTAAAACTGCTGACCCTCTCCACTGCAGTCCCATTGATGTAAATAGGCATGTGATCTCCTCCTTGGGGTTTCCTATAATCCACAATCATCTCCTTAGTCTTACTGATGTTCGGAAAGAGGTTTCAACCTCCTCCCTGTACTCAGACTCTTCACCATCTGCCATCTGTGATCAGTCCGATGACTGTCGTGTCATCCGCAAACTTAATGATGGAGCTTGGGTTATGCCTGGCGACACAATCATGGGTAAATAAGGAGTAAAGGACAGAGCAAAGCACAAAGCCTTGGGGGTCCCAGTGTTTAGAGCCGGTTTTGCAGACTTGTGACTCTAATAAATGTACTCTCTGATTCTGAGGTCACCTTTGGCCTGCCTGACCTTTTTCAGTCCTCATTCGTGCCAGTTTCTTCATTTGATAGTCTTGGCCACAACAGTTCCTGACACATGTAAAGTTCATTTTGTGTAATAACTGAACAGTACAGTGTAGGGTAATAAAATGTACAGTAAAGTATACATTTCTGTAAAGCTAACTTCTTATGTTGTTTCTGTGTATGCTATATGTGATATTTGGTCATTTTTATGTGTATGCAATACACGGTAAATATAGTGAGCTCTGCAGGGGATGGACAAAATAATCAAGACACCTAAAGGAAAAACTTATTTTGACAGAACTAAATCACAGTTAAAAAGACTTTTCATGTGTTTTGTATCAATTTCAATGCCTATTACCAATAAATGTCTCTTATAATCAACACTTAAATATTGAGTTTTTAAAGTAACATGAGAAATCTAACAGATTTTGAAAGAGGTCTAATAGTGCTCAAAATGCAGGTGTCAGTCTCAGAAATGGCAAAATTGTTTAATATGTCACCGACCGAGATAGAGGGACACTTAACAGAATCGTTGCTAAAAAACAGAACACAACAGCCTCAAACATTCTCACAGAACTGAATCTACACTGATCTGTTATGGTATGGGCAGCAATCTTTTGGGAGTCATTGGGTATGATTATTACTCTATATGGTAGAATTACAGCTAATGAATAAAAGGTGTGCAAATTGCTTCTTCAAGATGTTCCCATATTCCAAGATGATAATATACCCCTACAAACCACTAAATATATTCAAGAGTGGCTTCATGAACACCAGGATGAAGTTAACCACCTTGCATGGCCACCCCATTCACCAGATCTAAATCTGGCACCATGTTTTGTATGACTACTTGGTCACTTGTTCCGATTTAGATTGATCATTTGAATTTGTCATCTATACACTGGTCACAATTGTGTCCATTAACATAGGATATTTTCTAATTCATCCAAAGCTGATGTATCAATTACTTTTTATTGTGTTTCCTTGATCTTTATCTTTATATTTTTCATTTGTGATTTATGCAGGGTCCTAATGCAAAGCAAGTAATCAATTTCTAACATATAAAAAAAACTAATGGAACACTTTGTCTTTGTTTTAGAGACCCATTCTGTAAAGGAGACATTGGATATGAAGGCCACTTATCTACAGGCCCTTCTCCAGAAAGCCTATTCAAGAAGGGAGTTCAGTAGAACATTTCCATTCTCTGATGTCAAGATTCCTTTTGACACTCGATTGGTGTACACCCAGCTGGCTATGGTCACAAAGGACTTCAGGAATATTCCGTTGCACAAAATAACTCTGTCTGAGTTACTGAGACAGCTCAGGAACATCACTGTTGTCGATGGACTGCCAGGAAGTGGGAAGACATCTTTCCTTAAAAAGATAGCCATGCTTTGGGCTCAAGGAACATGCCCTCTTCTGAAAAGATTTAAATTTGTGCTTTACATCTCCTTGAAAAATGTCAGCAAGAACCAGAAGGTGACCAAAATAATTAGTGATCAGCTTCTTGAAGAGGAGTTGGACATTTCTGAACATGCCTTCAAAGACATTATCCACCATTATAGTGCTAGTGTCCTATTCCTTCTTGATGACTTTGGAAGGAACAATGGTCCTTTGCCTTCACTAATAGACCAGGAGTTGATTCATTGCAATCACTGGTTGAACATCCCCATCATTATTGTTGTCAGAACTCAGAGTCTCCATCTAATTCGGAAGCATGCCCAGCTCCTCATCTCCATCCAGGATTTTCCATTACATGCAACCATTCACATGTGCCGCAGCCTGCTTTCTTACCATATGGATCTAGTGGAAGATGCATTCTACAGACTACAAACATTCATTCTCCTCAGACCCATTATAAAGACGCCTTTAATGGGGCTCATTGTCTGTGTGTCCAGAATCAAATTTCCTGCTAGAGTGTTTTCCATCATATTCCTTTTTGATTATTACTTGCAGTTTATCAAGCAAAATCATATTAGTGACTTGAATATCTTTAAGTCAGCGGTGTCCAGCCTCGGCGAGCTCTGCTTGGAAGGGCAGTTTGAAGGTCGATTTCAGTTTACAGCGGATGACCTTCTCCAGGCTGGAGTGAAGGAATCTGATGCCCTAGAGCTGGGGCTTCTCAACAAATTGACTTCCCAGCGGCTCCGGCCTGTGTACTCTGTGTTTCATGTTTATTTCCAGGATTATCTAGCTGCACTGCGGATGAATGAGCTCCTAACTTCCAGTATTCCTGCAGAGAGAGAAAAAAGTCAAAATGACTTGAAGAGGATTGATTCAGTAGCCAAGTTCGTTTACTTTAAACTTTTCTTGTTGTTCACCTGTACGATGTCTCAAACAGCTGCTACTGTCATTGTAGACTTCGTACTCAATAAGCTCAATAGGAATACAGATTCTAGAGCTGATGAAGTTATCAATAAGTACCCTGAAACAACGGATATGAATAATCATATTATTCAATTTTTATATGAATTTCCAGAGTGCCGTGATTCATCTGTTGACACTTACCTGTTGAACGAAGTTTTAGATGTATTGTACGACACACAGTTTTTAGAGATTTGTGGTCCGCTCATTAAAGACTTCATGAAGGACAGAACTTTCACTGTCAGTGCCATTCAACCTCAGGCAATCTTGCGCTTTATAACTGACTACCCTGAGAGTCTCACAGGAATTAAAAGCTTCCACCTCCATATCCTTCAGGGTGCAAATAACTTGCACGACACAACCGAAGAACTGTTGCAAGTGGAGGTTCCAGAAGAATATTCTGGTTTGTTCAATAACTCTCAGACCTTTCAAGCAGATTTAAACTTCTGTAAAAACGGCCTAAAACTCCTGTTTAACATGATTAGATCTCAGATTCCCAGCGTGATCGTTGATGTATGGTGTCCAGCTCATGACAAATACAAAATCCCACTTGTGCATTTAACTTTTATTGAAACGCACAGCCTGAAAGACAGTGATCTGGAGAACATGGATGTCCTGTTTTACTTGTCTGAATCTATAGCTCTGGATTTGCTGGAAAGTCCAGGTGTCATTGAAAGAATGCAACCTCTTCTGGAAAAATATGCAAAACGAGTAAAGAAATTGCACCTTAACATGAATCGTCTGAGTGAAAATGAACAGGCCGTTTTATGTTCATTCACCAACTTGTGTACCTTAACCGTTATGATTAAGAACAAAGAAGAAGCACCAGGTAAAACATTTAAATCACATACTAGAACAATAGTACTACAGAGATGGTATTATATGTATTATAGTAGTAGCATCTTCTTTTAAGGTAATGTTGAGAACTGTTATCTTAATTATTTATCAAAGGATGTTTCATATATTTCATATATATAAAAGAATATTACCTTTCTCACAGTATCTATTGCTTTCTTGCCCCAGATGTTAAGGATACAAGGATTCAAGTGCCTCTGTACACCAATACTGTTTGGGGCACTTCACAAGATAAAAAATCAAAATAACTTTTAGCAGAAATCAAGAAATAAAACCATACATTTCTTCATGATAAAAGGAGAAAAGGTTTAATCAAAATAACACTGAACAGAAATCAAGAAATAAAAACAATTGTTTTTACATGTTAAAAGGAGAAAAGAAGTCTAGATTTCAAAACCGTAAAAGAGTTCTTATTTCTCAGATATAAGATATAAGAGGGAGTGAGTTCTAGAGTTGTGCAGTGAGGTGGCTGGAAGAGGGTGTCCAGAGAAATCACAGCAGCATACATTTGGTAGTTATGTCACATAAACATACTGCATTATTCTGAAAATGTATTTAAAAATGTAAGATTGGATTCCACGTCTCCATTGTGTAAACTGCCTTTGTGCCCACCCACTCTGCCCTTTTGATTTTGTAGAATTACTGTTCCGACAAATGGAGAGATTTCCAAGTCTGCAGCAATTAAACTTGAATGTGTACCAATCTAAAGAGTTTTTTGAAGTTCTGCCCATTGGATTCAGCAAAATGAGAGGATTAAGGAAACTTAACCTGATGATGGACGTGACCGAGAATGGCGTCATACTAGGTAATGTTATTTTTCACTTTAACTTTGGAGCTCATTTTCACTTCAGGGCTTGGTGAACACCTAAAAACTGTTGTGTTTATGTGGTGTTTTATATTTTTCTTCTATTTTCATATTGTTCTTCCCCGTCTCTGACCAGTTTCTACCTAAACATTTCTGAAACATGTCTTCTTATTGGTGGAATGTAATTTATTTGATCAATATAATGAACAGTAATATTCTGGGAGTCTTTCAAAACCAAATGAATTCTGGGACCATTAGCATTTAGGACATTTTTCTTGCCTCTCCTTATACATTTGAAGTGCTCTTGGAAAAGCCATTTGAAGTGTCTGCATATTACATTGATTGAAGAGACAGAAATGTCCTGGAACAGTCTGAGAATAGGGTATTCTACTTCTATTACATATAGTTCTTACATGAGAGCATTTTAAATGACTTCACATAATGGCATTTGTAACTGATCAGTACCATAGTAATTACGGTAATAATAGGAAAGAGACTGAAGGATTAAATTATTGAAACAATGAACAGACACAATTAAAAGAGCAAAATACTTTCAAAAACAAAAAGATTAAATAAGTGAACTGTGTGGATAAATTCCTGTATTGATTTCTGTTTCTTCTTCCAGCATGGCTCCTAACCTGCTTTCCATTGCTGGCCAGCTTTTCACTGGTGTCTGACCACTGTCCTGACTTAGATGCCATACTCAATGCACTGCCCTGTGCTGGCCTACAGTACCTCAAACTGGGCTGTATAACGTTCACTGAGTCTCAGCTGTGGTCTTTTGGTATGTTATTTCATCAGAGTGACTGACTGACTACTGACTCAGATTTTCTTCTCGATATAATCAGTACTTTTAAAACAAGAAAAAGTAGATAGAATTATTCACTCCCTGTAGAATTTGTGCCATTTAAGACTGCAATTGTGACATTTGAAAACAGGGCTTTGTATTTATAACCTCTACAATCTACTCCTGAATGATAGAAAAACTAGAAATACTGGTAACGTGTAAGGCTGTAATTTTAAAAAATAAACAAGAAGCATTCAACACATTTGATATTTCAAATAAATTTAATTGTCCAATTCAGATACAAAGATTAGGTTGAAAGGTCACCAACTTAGAGAAATGGTCTTTATCTGAAAGTGATTCAATTTTTAAAGATAGCCACACAACAACTTCCAGTGAACATAAATCCTGCAGTCTTTATCTGTGTGTAATCAAGGTGCTTTAATTTGACTTCAGAGAAAATGTATCTGACTCTATGTAATATGTTCCATTTGTTAGATATTCAATATCAAGCCTCTGCTCCCACATGAACACCAATGAGCTTTTGAAACAAGTCAGGGGTATTGTAGAAACATTGTAGAGAAGCACAGATCAACACATTTCCCTGTAGCTTTGTGCTAGTCATCATTAAAGAATGAAATATGCACGAACCCACCAGACACAACCCACATCGGGCTGTCCTATGAAACTGTGCTGCCAGCCAGCCAGCCAGTCAGGCAGGAAATTGGTAAGAAATCCCCAGGTGGGTACTGCACTTAAGCACTGAAGTATGATGAAATGAGTCACCTTCTGTGTGTCAAAGTAATTTGGGATCCCTTGGAATAAAAAATGCTGTACATTACATATGCAGGAATTATGTATACAGCAAACTCATAGTAAATGCTTGATTATTAAATTTGGACTTTAATCTGGTATCTGAACTGGATTGAAAGTCCAAGAGTACTGAAGTCACTAACATCAGTGCTAACATTACAGTAGTAAAAATATAAAAAGATGGCATATGGATCTTGATCCATCAGAGCTGTTATTTCTACATTTTGCTCTAAAATCTTAGAAGGCAATAGACAGCACCTAAAATGACCACAAACCTGTTTAAAAGTTTGTCAAATGAGATTGTATGTTTTTCAGAAAGATTTTCTTTTTCATTTGAGGATTCAAATACCATCTATCCATTATGCATTATCAATTCTCTGCTCAATGTATTTAATTACATTATAGACCATATATTTTAATACTACAGATTCTTCATATTAAATTGAAATGGATCTGCTGTCTAACAATATATATGAACAGCAAAGACATTTTAAGGTTTATTATATACCTTGCTTCTAATACAATGCAATACTTGTTCATACAGTTTCACTGACATACATTAAATACATTAATCACAATATCACCTGAAACATTTTATGTTGAAACTGGATTAAATGGAAAACAGATCTTGTACAGTAATTAACATTTTGCTGCAGATGTTTACCTTTAGTCCCATCCACTTTAAGGAGAAATATGGGAGTAACACCATTGAGAAAATCATTTAAAAAGAAAAGTGTGTCTAAATCACCATTACTCCAAGCCAAACAACATATTCTGTTTCTGAAACAAATCCTTTGAAAATCCATAAAAATCTTTTAAAAATAAAGGGGTGAGCTCCAGAGTATTCTACACAGTGACAGTTCTCAAAGCACAGTTTATCTGAACATCACTGTCTGATGGAGAGTCGTGGACGACTGTGGTGGGACTAATTAATTCTGTGGCCAACGCTGATTTGATTCAGCTTGGGCCTTTGCAATTACAAATGTAGTCTCTAAATTGTTCATTTTCACTTAGCTGACACTTCACCTCATACAATTTTCAGGGACAAAGGAAAGAGGGAACACAACTACAACTGTAGAATTATTCTTAACTTCCAGTCTAGTTAGGCAAAGAGGCATTTATTTCCATACAACATTCAATTCCAAAGTACATTATAAAAGAACAATAAAATGCTGAACTGAGTGCTAAAAGATCTTGCAGAAGATGCTAGACAAAATAGACATTTATCAAACATTATTTCACACATCAGTCTATAATTATTTCATCATGCCAATTAACAGGAAAGAGTCTAGTACAAAACCTGCTGGATGTGTTCCAGCCATGATCTTTATGAGCTCTGAGCTTGTAGTTCAAACATTGCAGGTTCAAATCAGGGACTTCATATTGCTTTGAGAAGATATTCAGCTGTATGAATGCACACAAATATTAAGTTCCTTGGCTTACAACAGTAAATCATTCCAAGCACCCCCATGGTTTTCAAGCGCTGGGTTTGAAGGATAAATTTTACATAAAGTGTTACTGAAACAGATGGGATACGTACAGTAGATGCCCAGTACTTGCTTACAGGGACAGCGTGTTAGGGAATGGGTTTGAATACACACATTTGAGTGGACTTCTGCTAATATACCTCTTTCCTTACCCACAAAACCATCTGGCCTACAGCTTTAATTGAAAGATTCACTTGCTTATTATATACATTTTTGATGTATTGAAAAATCCACTTGCTTATTTTGTGAACTCACTTTTTTATTTTATTTCCTTCAGCTACAAAACTTGGGACATTAACTAATTTAAAAGTATTGAAGCTCTGCAAAGAATTGTTTGACAGCACTGAAATAATGCCAACCTTTGGTAGGTGAACTTTACAGTAACAGCTTGATAGTCAATATGCAGTTTATACATTTTATTACTCATATTTGTTTAGAGAGATGGATTACATAATCTTCACCTCTAATCATAAGTCTCCCATGGGAGACTGGAGTTTCTGTAATTTCAGTGGAAGTCTGAGTCAATGCCAGTAACAGAGTTTGCCTGGAGAGGAAAGAAAAGATCAGGCTGACCTGTGAAAGTGAGCAGCCAGAAAGGCAGGAAATTGGTTAGAAATGCCCAGAGAGTTGTGCCTTTCAATTTTTAGAACTTACCCATAAGTGAGATTAAGAATTTCATATTGAATTGTAAGCCTCTAATATATCTGAAATATTACAGAATTATTATTATTATTCGATTAGAAAACTGAATATGATCTTAAAGAATTCTTACCAGAATAGCTTTTTAACAGCCAGGGTAAGTCAGAAAACTTTGTGAATTATGCGTCTAAGACACTTAACCTGTGGAGAAGACATTTTACAAGAATGAAGTAGCTCAGGTGGGTAACTGCGTCAGCATGCATAGGCTGTAAAGGAACAAGTAATAGATTTATTCCATGCTGAAAAGAGAAGAAAGAAAACACAAAGTTTTGGCCATGGAGCCATCTTCAGGTGCTATTCTGGTAAGAATTTCTAAGATCACATTCAGTTTTCTAATTGGATAATAATTTTTCAAGATTTTTCTTTTGCTCCTCCATAAAGTCTGCTAGCAAGTCTTGAGGTTATAGGTGCTCTTGCAATAAAAGGATGTTGCTTGATCCTTTGGATTCCTTCTGCACCTACATTTATGCCTACCCTTGTCACCCCAGATAAAAATATAATCCTCAGTTAAGTCCAAATTAGTTATAGCACCACTACAGCTATACGCGATACAGTGTGAGAGCACTGATACATTGGTTTTATTATGAAATGTTCAAAAGTAGGTCAGTTCGGTTTTCAAATTGTTGGGTAAAAAAACTGAAAAGCTGATTTTCTTTGCAGTCTGTGCTCTCAAAGAGCTGACACAACTTGAGACTTTGCATCTTCCTTTTGGGAAAGGGGTAGAAGCAGAAGCAGGCTCCATCATTGCAGTCTTGCAAACTCTGACGCGTTTGAAGTCCATTCAGATGCGCTCTTCTTTGAATGATGAGAACCTTGTAAAGATTGGTAAGTACACTCCTATCTACTGTGGTTAAAAGCTTATTTGAAAGGGAAAGCTGTAAAGAAACTATACTGATTATTTTTGCATTCAGACCCCTACGTCAGAATGTGGTTGAAGCATCTTTTGTAGCAATCACTATTCTCACTCAGTCATTTTGGATAACTCTCCACCACCTTCGCACAGTGTAATGCTGTAGTGTTTGCAGTGTAATAATTGTAATAATTCTTTCTGGCAAATTTGCTTCAGTTCATTGCTAAAATATGCCTTTTTGACCCTATTCTACACTGAAACAAGCAGGTTTTCTTCTTGAATTCACCCATACCTTGCACCATCAGTTTTCCCCCCAGTCCCAGCAAACTTCCCATGGCCCACTGATGAGGAGCATCCCTGCGGTATGATGCTGCCACAGCCATGCTTGACAGTTGCAATGCAGTTGGGATGATACTACGGGGTATTGTGCTGTGATGGGCTTGCTCCAGGCATAACACTTGGCATGAAGTTCAGAAAGTTTGATTTGGTCCCATCTGACCACAGAACCTGCTGCTACATATCTGCACTCTTACATGTATGGTTCTTCACAACATCCATCTCAGTAATCGATTATTTTTTACCTTTCACCCATAGAAGAAAGGTATTGAACCAGGGGTATTGTCAATGTATGAACATAGTGACTCCTATCTTAGATAAGGAACATGGCAAATGTTTCAAAGTCACTGTTGGCTTCAAAGTGGCAATCATAGCCAGTTTCCTGGTGGCCTGTTTGCTCAGGTTAGAAGCATGTGAATCTGGGTAATGTTTGGGTAGGATAACGCAATTTAAATTTCTGCATTATAGGCCATAATTTTGACATTTATTTTTAACTTTCTCCTACTCTGTGCTTCTCTGCCACTTTATCCCTGACTTGTTTAAAAAAAATCCCTTCTACAGATACAGATGCAGCCACTCAGAAAGCGTAGCAAAAGTGTTGTCCACTGCATACCACAATATCCTTCGGCACACTGAACTAAACCTTCCGCTGGCCAGAGAAGATCGATAGGTGGGACTTGTGGTGCTAGATATTAGTGAAACGGTTGCATCATTTAATGAAAACTTTCATGAAATTACTCAGAAACACACAAAAAAACAGCATATCATAAATCAAAAAGATTTATAAATATTATAAATATTGGTGGTTTCTTGCCATAAATATTGGCTGCATCTTTATGTACTGTGGATAGTTAACCCCCACTATATAATCTGTGCCTTTAAATTGCATATCTAACTCAGGGAATTTATAATGTCAGATGTACTTACTTTGAAGTCAAGTTAAACACTATAGTTATATCCCAAAACCTTTACACTAATTAACAACAATAAAATGTAGAAACTTTGTATGGAGGTGAATACTTTTTCAAGGCCCAGTATACATGTTTATATACAGTAGAAAACCTATCTGTACATTTTCTATCCGAAATTTGGAAATTCACCTTTGGCAGCATGTCTTTAGAAGGAACTGCAGTCTGGAATCAAGCTCGGAACCTAATGGCTGTGACACATTAGTTAACTACAATGCCACTATGCTTCCTTGACTGATAATACTCAAACACGAAAGAATAATTCAGTTCCTGGGGTGCTGTCTGTGTGGCATGTGTGTGATCTTCCTGTGTTTACATGGGTGTCCTCCAGTTGCTCTGATTACCTTCGGTTTTTCCAGTTTCCTCCCAAAGTCCAAAGACATTCTGATAGGTTAATTGGCTTATGGGAAAACTGTCTCTTGTGTGAGTCTGTGTGTGCTTGGTTTGGATAAAGCGGATAGCAAATAGATGCGTGGGTGGATTAAAATGAGGTTCTCCTCAGTGAGGAAAAACAGCCATAAATCATTACTCTGAGTAAACATACTGGTAATAAAAAATATTTTTCTTTCTTTTCAGCGAAAGCCACACAAGGCGGGAGCTTTTCTGGCCTTCAGAAACTCATTTTGAGTCATAACATCAGCACCACAGACAGAGGCTGGCAAGAGTTTTTCCACACTCTGAGCAGTCTGAAGGACCTGGTAAAGCTGAACATCTGCAGACCCTTGAGTCACCTGCTAAAACCTTCCTCCTCCACAGTCATCGCCCTCGTAAGAGCTGTATCGCAGCTTCCTAGCATGAGGCATGTTGTGGTGTCTGGGTGGCTGCTGGATGACATGGACCTGAAGGTGTTTGAAGACATGAAGAAATCACATGCACAGTCACAATATTTGATGTTAACTTTCAAAATTGGTGCCAAACCACAATTTGTACAGGATCTTTAAACAAACTGGACATACCCTGTTCAGTCACATCAAAACACGCATATAAGGAGTTGCTTACTTGCCCATCATGGAATCTATTGAATGTTGCAAGATTGCATTTCCTTCATTTTTTCAGCATCAGTCTTCGCATTGTTTCATTATCACCATGTGATATCTGCAATGTGACAAGTGTGTTCTGAATGACAGGGCTTATCATTTACATTTAATTAAGGTGAAGACATGCTTTTTTGTAATAGGTGTGTAATTCAATTTGTTAGACGACACGTTCCATTTTACCAACGACTGGTACTAAATGCAGCATACAGACCGAAAAGGTTTGGAATTCCATCTTTTATTAACCAATTTGGTTGTGAGTGCAAAGATCGGTTCAACTATCAAGACTTAAGCCTTTGACTTACTTTTACTGATAACGTTACAGACCTACTACTTAAAAGTGTTCACTGTGGTTCTAGTCAATGATCAGACTAGTAAGTATATTTACTGCTGGATTGCAGACCACTATGTGTCCATCTTCTAGATTGTATACTTTAACAGTAGCTCCAAGATGTCAAAACAGAATTTAAAAAAAATAGTATTACACCATACATTTGTGAAAACAACCTTCCCCACAATTAGATATATTTATATTTGGCTGAATCTTACCAGTTTAACCTGTTGTGACGTGTTCAGCTAATCACCAGTGGAAAAGCAGTTTTCTGCAATGTGTCCAACTGGTTACCGTGGACGTTTATGAGATGTTTTACATAAGAAAATGTTAAAATTGGCAAATGAGAGAAGGTCACTATAACCTGGAATTTTGGTGTATTCTCCTCTAGGTGTTTCGTGAAACAAGTAATGGTAACACCCTACAAAACATACATTGTCTTTGTTCCTATTCCTATTAATCTCATCACGATCACAAATGTGTTGACTGTTAAACAAAAACACGTTTTTAGTTTGTTGTACCAACATTTTTGGAGGATACCTTGTTTTTGTATTTTGGTGAACAAAACCGACAACCATATTTAAAAGCAGGTATTACTAGTGAATTAAACAATGTTAGTACACCATCCCTGAATTAAATTCTCCAATTTTCACCACATATCCAAATATTTATTTGCCTTTTTATTGCTTCCCCAGATATTGATTGCTTGAATTTAATTGATTGCACTTCATTCTGCTTGGTGATCACCATCCTAGGAAGAAAGAAAGTGAATAAGCTTGAATCCCTTTCACAGTAGTGGTCATTGTGTTGTATTTGTGTAGTAGATCAGTTTAAAAGCAGTAACACTGTTGTCAAGGCCTGTATCTATAATAAGGTAAGATGGGGGAGCTACACCAGTGCACAAGTCACAAAGGACCAAGCAGAGGTTGATTTAACTTAGAAAAAAAGAAAGGGGAACATACCTTCCAACATGCAACAGATTTGTGTTTTTTCTTTTTTCTCTTTACTTTTCAGTGTGAAACTATCCCTCTTAATCCTTATAATTTGTTTTACACCAGGTACTCATTTGCTTATCATTTTTGGATTTCTATGCCTGCCACCAGTAAGAAACCAAATAGATTAACATTTTTGCATTAAAAAACAAATTGTGCGATAAATGTTGCCTAATTTATAGAATATGATTTATGCGTTATGTTAAAAAATAAATGTTAAATTAACTGCTTTACTGTATATATGCAGTGCTATATAAAATGCATATTATTTTTTCAGTTTAATACTGTTAGTAAGTTATATATTAATAATTCACCTATTTGAGATTTTATAAGTTTCTCATGCTGTGTGATTGGTTTTATATGATGTATTTTGTATCAGGATTAATTATATTGGTAATAAGCACAACGACCTAGATGTGTGTGGTTCGTTTTCCTCTTTCCCTGTCTCTGTTTTAGTTGGAAAGCCATTTAAATACTGTAATAATACTGCCTTTAGGAAATACACACATACAGTATAGTCTAATCCAATCTCTGAGCCATTTTTGTTCTGAACCAAACCTTGGGTATTCAGCCATTATTTGTGATTTGGAATTTTGCATTTTCGCTCTTGTCAAGTGCAAGGTCTCTTCCTTACTAAATTCAGTTTTAGACCCCTGTGGAATTCACAGATTCTAAAGCCTGTGCTTGCTGAACGATTGTTCATAACAGTTTGTTGCTTCTACCAAATGGAACTGAACAGTCAAGTAATGGGGTTGCAATTGACATCCAGTGAGGCTGATCTTAGTCTTGATCATGCATGAAAGTATATCTTTTTATAAAGATTTACCTCTCTAGTTACTGTGAACATCAGTATTTAAAAGCATTTCTCAGAGATTATTCAATTTTCACATTTGATTAAACATTCTAGGGAAATTGCTTCATAACCTGAAATTCAAGTCTTTATTCAAGTTGTAGTGATTTACATTTCAGGATATATTAATAATTTCCTACAGGTTCCCTGTGCTGGGTAGTGCATTACAAAGAAAAAACTCAACCAGGAGCACCAAGAAGCTTTCAAAAGAAATTGGTGACAAAGCTGCCAGGGGGTAATTTCCTTCACTGCATTTCTTCATGCCTGTTTGCTTGTACGTGCCATTAAACCTCTGCTAATTATTCAGGTTTTATGTTCACTAGGAGTTCAGCCTTCATTTGTACTCTTTATAAAAAAAAGTAATAAAAAACAGGGTAGGGTAAAATATTAAAGCACTTGAGGAGCTTTCAAAAGAATTCGGTGACAAATTTGTAGAAAGACGCAGATCAGAGGATGGGTACAATATCCGCATCAGCATGCATAGGCTGCAAAGGAACAAATAAAGGTTTATTCCATGTTGAAAAGAGAAGAAAAACACAACATGTCGGCTGTGGAGACTTCTTTGTGTGTGGGAAAGAGAGGAAAGTGAGCAAGAGCATCTAATAAAGCATGGGAGAACAAAAGCTGGGAGTGGAGAGGAGGTGGGAGCAGATGAGAAGCAGAGTGGGCACTCAGGTGGTGTAAAGTCGAGAGAGTTGAAGAGAGGAAGTCAAAACCTGCAAATGAATAGAGAGGATTAGAAGGAAACAAGTCTGTTGTTGGGAGAGGGGGGATGGTGTGATCCTCGTTTCAGGATAATGATGGTTTTGGATGTCTTTCTGCAATAGGAGTTGAGAAAGTTGAGAGTTGAGGGCCCTGTGAATAACGTGGGTGGCGTTGATGAAAAAAGTGCATTTTGAAGCCTTGGTTTTGGAAATCCATGTCATCACACAAAGTCGTCAGAGCCTGAGGAATTGTGAAAAGGGGAGAGAATTTTTAGTATATGTGGGGTGAAATGAGTTGTACAGGTGATGGCTGTGTGGTTTGTAATAGAAGTAGAGAATCGTGGATGGTAAATGGATAGGTTTATGTCTAGAAACAGAAGAGTAGTGGAAGATATGCTAACTGTATACTTGAGGGATGGATGGAAGTTGGTCAAGTGATGCAGGAAGTGCTCTAGATGGTCGTTACAGCATGTGGTGGCACCGACGCAATCACCAATGTATCACCTGTAGAGGTCAGGGACAAAGCTGGTGTAGGAAGCAAAGAAGCATTGTTCTACCTAGCCGACAAAAATATTAGCATAGCTGGGTCCCATCCTGGTGCCCATGGCGACTCCACTAACCTGCTGATAAAAAAGGTTATTGAATGAGAAAGTATTAAGTGTGAGGACCAATTCCGCAAAATGTAGAAGATTTTTGGTGGGTGGATCAAGCACTGTGCGTTTGACCAATTTGTACTTAAGGGTTGTAAGACCGTCATTGTGGGGAATGACGGTGTATAAGGATATGACGTCCATGGTAAAAATGTAACATTCTGGGCCCTGAAACTGGAAATTGTTAAAACATTGGAGGGCATGGATGGTGTCCTTGATACATGAAGGAAGCCCTTCAACCAGCTTTCTCACAAGGCTGTCAAGAAAGGTGAGTTGTAGGACAGTGGTGTGCTGAGACGATGGGGTGTCGGGTTTGTGGCTTTTGTGGAGGAGGTAAAATTGAGATATTTGGGGATGTTCAACAATGAGACGGTTTGCCTTCTGGGAGAGCTCCTTTCTGCTGATCAGAAGAGAGATGGTGGATAGAAATTTTATTTTGGTAGTTTGTGGTACAATCCTGTGGGAGAGGATGGTAGGTGAAAGTGCTAGACAAACCCACAGTGCTTGATCCACCCACTTCAAGAAATCTCCTCTACCATCGGTACCACTCTATAGGTTCTATTGAAGAACCCTAAAGTCAGACTTTCATAGTAAAAGTGCTGTGCAATGAGAATTTGACAGCATGAGCAGAATTTCATATTTCTACTGCTGTCAGGTGCCCTGAATCAGAACCGTACAGATCTGGCCACAGTAGACACGGTACGAGGAATCTACATTCATTCCTCTTGTTTCATGACCAAAATGACTAGGGCAAAGCAGGTAATAGCCTTGCTCAAAAATGGAAATGTGTTTCCAGAACATAACCACAAAATTGGGCAACACAATCAGAGGACAGGATCCTTAAATTGAACAAACAATGGAAGACTTACAGGACGTGGTTGAACGTTTTCATGAAATGCCCATTACTCTGTTCAGGCATTCAAATGCGATGTAAGATAAGATGGTGTGTGTACGAGAATCCATGGCTGTTGGACTTGCAAAATGCTATCCCTCTGTCACTAAGCACAGTCAATACACTACTGCACAGAACTGGAAAATATAAGGTGTTGCAATGCGATGAGTTTACATACAGTATTTTGCACAGTCTTCCCTGCCCATAATGTTAATTTGATTCAGAAATGCATGGCTTCCTTTATATATAAATGGTGAACCAGTGGTTTAATAAAAGCAGGAAGCTGGAAAATGAGCTCAGAAAGAGATATATTAACTGTAACACATTAACTGTGCTTTTCTTCGCTGTAATGAGATTTCCTTGTAAAAAAAAACTCACTACCTCCCTTTTTAGGAGCAAAAGTCATTTAACTGGACTTAAAAACAGTTTAATGTTTTGAAATATTATTTGCACATACTGTACCCAACAACTGAATCAATCTATCAGGAAGCTCATACAGAATGAACATTAATCATGGGATGTGTCATACTGAAATCTAATTTCATTGTTGACTTTTCTGAAGACTAATAACAGGAGCAAAAGAATAAACAGGTTTTCCAGTATTTAAACGTAAACAAAATTTCCCCTTCATTGGGGGAAGATTTGTCTTGTGGTTGGAGTGTTGAGGTGTGTCACGTCTTACCTGCTGGGAACAGTCAACGAAAGGGAAATCACTCATTTGTTTTTCTATTATGAACTTCCTTGTATTTATTCATTTTAGTTAAAACCCTTTTCCAGATTTTTTATTTGACATAAAATATACAATTATGATACTTTTCATTATTTAACCAATAGGGTAATCCTGTCTTTTTCACACAAAACATGACCAAACATGAATGATAAAATTCTAACTATGATGTATACTGTCTGAATAACACATAAAGGATAAGGCTACAAATATATGATACAAAATGCAATTAGAGATAAGATTTTTTTGTGGGGTTATGGAAAAACAGAAGAATATTTGTGCTTTACTGCGCATTCCCATGCTCTTGCATTCACAGATAAAGCTTGTTAAAACTTGCATGACTTTAATTACAGTGTGTTTTAATTCTATTGACTGTCTCTGCCATTCTTTGTGTTATTTTTATTGAAGGGTTGAATGAGGAGAGTGGCATGGTAGTGCAGTGGTTAGGATTGCCGCCTCACAGTGCTGGGACCCTTTGCTTTGACCTGGGGTGTGATCTGCAGGTTTGTGTGTTTTCCCCACGTCCACGTCCAGTAGGTTTCTTCCGGGTGCTCCGGTTTCCTCACATCCTGGTCCAGTAGGTTCATTGGCTTCCAGGAAAGTGGGCATCATGGCAGTCATGATCTTGACCAGACAGAGGCACGATGGTCTGCTGCTGACAAGGACAGTGCAAGTGCTGAGCTCCAGATGGTGGCACTGGCAGTGCCCCATGTTGTACCAGCAAGCTTAGAGTTCAGATTGTTCCTTCTTTTGACCTTGGCTGCTGTTGTCTTTAAGTCTCCTGGAAGGTAAGTGTCAATTTCACAATGTTAACACAACTGGACTTGATTATCAATAAGCTCCACTCACCTACCAACTACCATACTCTCATGAGATAGTTCAGAATTCAAGAATTGTAAAAGGTTGTTTTTTATTTTTTTTAATTGAATGTTAAGTTTGTATTTATTGTATTATTAATCTGGAAACTCTTTGTGCCAAGATTTCAAATTCTGACCTAAATAATGTGATGAGCTTCCTGAGCTGCAAATGTTGAAACTAGCTAGATGTTGACCACCTACAGTACACCTTGCTTTAATAATATGTTGATTGTGTAACTATTCAGATGGATGAGCTAAGTATTTGGTGGAAGCACCTATGGCAGCAAGTACAGCCAGAAGACCTTTTGGTTACGTCACTACCAACTTTGCAAGCTGACCTCATGCAAATCTTGCCCTTTTCTCCTGGCAGATTTGTTCAAGTTCTACATCAACTCATGCCTGCGGATTGCTTACAGTATGTCTCGACAAGCTTCCTAGTTCCTGCTAACGAGAAGCACAAGTAAACATAATGTCACCACCGCCATGCTTTGATGTCTTATATACAAAACCACATATTTGCAGTATTACCACAGGAGATGTTGAGGAGTTTGCATTCTTCAAACAATAAATAAATTCATTATTTTTACAAATCAGTTTCCAATGTATGCTTACACACTGTATACACAAATAGTCCACAACCTATTGATTAAAAAGCCAATAGGTACTATGTCATGAAACTTAAAGTATTAAACCCAACTGATTAATTGCTCTGTATTAATATTCTATGATTACTGTCTGATTTATCATATTTTGGGCCTCAATTTTGTGTAAGTAAGAAATATAAAAATGTTTGAAGCTTGGAGAGGACACATTGAAATCACTCAAAACTGGAAATCTGTTGAATTAGATTGTCTGCATTCCTAGTCTGTCAAGGATAGCTGCAGGATACATACTGTATGTTTCTGTGGTATAGTGTATTCTGTATGATATAAATTGATAACATATAACTTTGATACTGTGTGGAAGGTGGGGCAGGGGTTAGCTGGTTCACTTCTGGACTTGGGGTGCTATTATGAGTGGAGTTTGTTTGTTCTCCCTGTGTTTGTATGGGTTTCCTCTAGGTGCTCCAGTTTCCATGTTTTACCAGTGTGTATTAATGTAGCAGTAATCCACTCCAGAGTATGCCTTGCTCATATATGGGGTTCCTAGGCATGAGGTAACAGATTGCATGTGTCCAACACAGCAGATTTGATAACACACACCCTGTAGTGACCTGTTCACATCCTATAATGTCTTGTTTCAAGAAAACAATAAAACATTTAAAGCTTACAATGTGAAATATGTCATATAAAACAGGTACTGCTACACTTGTTATCTTTGTTGCATGTGAAAATGCAGGTTCATTAAACCTGCTGGAAATGTGTCTGTGATTTCATGTAAAGATAACATCAGTCATCCAGTCATACACTGATCATTGATAATCCGAGTCCAGCATTATGCACTTCAATGAACACTTCACGATTCATCAAGATTTATCAACCTTGGTTTTCAAATGAACTCCAGTTGTTATTATGCCTATACTTTATAATCTAAATGGGCTAAATGGTTTTTATTAGATGTATTTGACAATGACAGCCTTAAATAAACATTTTCAAATAGGCAACATGAGGTAGGTATCATAGATAGATAATACTTTATTAATCCCGTAGGGAAATTGATGTGTTACAGCAGTCCAGCCCAAGACAAGCAAAACAGACATCAGAATGGTTATAAAACAAAAGACAACAAAATAAATACAAATAAATAAATACATAGGTGTGTGCAAAATGTGCTGATCATAGTCACAGTCACTGTAAAAACAATAAAATATGTGCAAAATGTGCATAGGTTTATACAGACTGATTGTCCAAAAAGTACAATGGAGTAAACATGCTGTCCATAGAGGAGCAAATGAAGGGCTAAAAGTCCTAGCCTAGGGCAGCATTATACACCCTGACAACCTGCCTCCTGCAGAGGAAAGACCTGCGGAAACGTTCCCTCGAAAACCGTAGCTGGAGCAGTCTATTGCAAAAAGTGCTCCGCTGCGCAGTAACAGTCCCATGAAGCGGATGAGAGGTGTTGTTCATGATGGCTGTGAGCTTGGTCAGCATTCTCCTCTCAGTCACCACCTCCATGGGGTCAAGGCTCATCCCCAGCACAGAGCCAGCCTTCTTGACGAGTTTATTGAGCCTATTTGCATCTTTTGTCATGATGCTGCTGCCCCAGCACACAACAGTGTAGAAGATGGCCGCCACCACCACTGATTCATAAAAAATGTGTTCAACACACACCAAAGGACCTGAGTCTCCTAAGAAAATAGAGTTGGCTCTGACCTTTCGTGTACAGGGCGTCAGTGTTACCAGACCACTCCAGCTTATCATCCAGGTGTACCCCTAAGTACTTGTAGGAATGTACGCCCTCTATGTCCTCACCCTGGATGGAAACAGGGTTCAGCGGAGACTTATTCCGTCGAAAGTCAAAGATCATTTCTTTGGTCTTGGTGGTGTTAAGCTGGAGATGGTTAAGATGACACCCCTCCACAAAATTGGTAATCAAGCTCCTATATTCCTCCTCCCTCCCCTCTCTAATACACCCCACAATTGCAGAGTCATCCAAAAACGTCTGCAGATGACATGTCTCAGAGTTGTACTGTACCTGAAGTCAGAGGTGTAAAAGGTGAACAGGAATGGAGCAAGGACAGTCCCCTGTGGAGCCCCAGTACTGCTAACAATCTGTTTGCTTTAGTTCTTTACAGGCAGTTAGATGTTGCAATGTTAGCATTATTTTTTACAGCATATAGAGTAAGTACAGAGGTGTTCTAATTACCATATTTCTAGTTTAAAAAAAATTACTAGTCAATTCAAATGTTTACCTATTATTCTGTTAATGTGGCCACAAAACACATACTGTACAGTAAGCCCTGCCCTCAAAATACATTAAATTCTTTTAATTGGTTTTGTGATGTAGATTTGTTCAGGAAATATGTGTTGGTTAAGGAAGAAGGAAATATATTTATTGTTTCTATTATGCCCTGGAAAGTTAAGAAAGACAATGATTTACATCTGCATTTGCTGATGCTTTTTTTGCACTAGGTGAGGCTTCGTTGGGATATAAAAGGGATGCTGATTCTGACGTTTGTCACCACTTGCAGAGAAGGATTTGGGATTGCAGGTAAGATGTGACGGAGAAGTGCTAACATGTTTTATGGAAACTGGAATTCTGAACTATCTCATGAGAGTATGGTAGGCGGTAGGTGAGTGGAGCTTATTGATAATCAAGTCCAGTTGTGTTGACATTGTGAAATTGACACTTGTCTGCAGCTTGCAACTTTAAAACTTTGTGAAGTTTCCTTTTCACTTTAGATTTTAAAGATTCAATTTGTGCTTAGCCACTGAATGAAAATAAAATAGTTGAGAACCAGAAAACACTGGCTCTCCTGATCTTTTATTTAAAATGTGAAACAAAGCTGAACTGGCCATCAGTGGTACAAATTGTTTTCACTTGTTTGTAATGGTAATGCCAGGGGAAGCATGCAGCATTTATTTCAAAGCATTAGCAGTTAAATTGTGCTGCATTTATAAAATGTTCTTAAGTTCCTAGCACAGTTTGCTTTACATTCAGAATGCACACTGCTTGCTCCTGTTGGGATCTCTTCTTTCATGCCTGTCCACTTTTACAGAGATGCCTCGCCTTCTACTTGTGGCAGTTTTTGTGATCTTCTTGGCTCTCCCTGCAGTTTCAGGTGAGTCAATAGTCTCAAGATAGTCCCAAAGAACAACAGTGAAACAGTTTAATGTCGACCATGTTATTAGACAGTATTGAAATTAACTTACAATGTGAGCCATTTTCAGAGAGGTTCTATACAAATTTTACAAGTATAAAAGCAAGAAAAATATTTAAATAGCCATCTGTTTTGAACATATTTACTCTACATTTTAACACCTGCTGGCTATTAATGATCTATTTTTTGTATCTTTGATATGAGCCCCCAAATCCATGTCGATATTATAAAAATGTACACAAACTTTTCAAAATAATCATCCCTGGCACTTTTTTCAGACAAGCATGGTGCCAGTCCTTTTGTAAAGAGGGCTGTGGAGAAAGCCATTCGCGCAGTAGATGCAGCATATAAGTATTCCAGAGAAGTGTAAGTTACTGACATCTCCTGACTTCAGCATTGAACTGTAATGTCTGTGTCAGTATTAAAATGCAGACAGTATGATGTAATAGTTAGAAGTCTATAACCATTATACTGTATAACTGTGGAAGGCTATAACACTTCTATGGAAAATGCAATATATAAAAATGTTAATCAAATATATTAATTCAAATTTAGATTTATAAACACTTATCACTTAGTGTTTGTCTCTTTAACAAAATTGCACCCAATATGTGAAGAATCCTTATTTTACACAGACACTCTTTATATTAAATTTTCATCACTAAATAAATTAATGATACACCAAGCATTGGTTATCAAAGTGAGGTAGTAATATTCACATCATTATGGTGCCCTCAGTTTCAAGAGTGTAACAATAAAATAATGAGGCAAAAAAGTTTAAGCTGTAAAACATCACATTTCTTGCCTTTAATTATACTTACAATGACGTTTTAGTAATATTTTTCATTCTAATAGTCTTTATCAGTCCCCTTTCACGAGCTCTGCTGCCTGGTTTGTGCAGGAACCTGGCCAAGCTCCAGTCGGTTTCTGTGAAGGCCTCTGACAGGCTGTCGTTTCTCAAGCGCCCTGCCCGGGACACGCGCACTGCAGTACGTGCTGCAGAGTACATGGAAAATGCACTGAGAATCATCCAGGAGAGAGCCCACCACATCCACAAGCGCTCACTCAATGCGACAGGTCAGCTTCCAGAAGACACTTTGTTCTGATTCACAAAAGAGAAGAATTTGCAAAAATATTATATGTTCTATTCAGTGTCTTACCTTTTGAAATTGGGTCCTACGGTGAGCAGTGCTATTATTTAATTCTACACAGTGGAATCTCTAGTGTGGTTAATGTTTAGTATTGATTTTCTTAATTGGACTTAGAGGAGTTTTGGTTTGCTTCCTTAATCCATCAAATGATCAGATACGGTTCACACCAATATTAAAACTGTGGCAACATCTCTGTCAAATGAAATTAATTTGATTTTTCTTCATAACAAAATACAAGTCTTCCCTCAAGCAGAAGTACTTCTGCTGTCTGATTCAGTAAAGAAATACATTCGACTTCATCAAAATCTCACAATTGTCTTTCAAAATGTGTCTGCAAACGTGTGGTTTTTCTCTCTGCTCGGTCCTGCAGATCTGCTGACAGATGATGACTTGAACACTCTTGTCAGGCTGACGGGCTGCGCCGCAAGGACCAGGTCCCCATCCTGCTTCACCACCCCCCTGGTGGACAAGTACAGAACCATCACTGCCGTCTGCAACAACAAGTGAGCGCTCAACAGCGCCTCCCTTAGGGGCCATTACTGGTGGTATGAATCCACCCTCCTCTGGTTTTCACTGGCCTGTTCACATATGCAGTACGCTGTGTTAGCAGTGCATCACCGTCTAATAGAAATCAGAGGGCTAGTTAATGAAGGCTACTCCTCTCCACAGATTACAGTCCCACTTCACAATTCACATTTCCCAGTGCTAGATCCACGACTGTTGCCCCTTTCACACCACAAATGTTAATTAATATTATCCTTGTATTTCAATTTTCAACTTCCAGAAAGAACCCTCGCCTAGGGTCTTCCAACACCCCATTTGCGCGATGGTTGCCTCCAGAGTATGAAAACGGGTTATTCACACCCCGTGGCTGGGACCCCACAAAGCTCGTTAATGGACGACTCCTGCCCTTGGTAATGATCACCTGAGTTTCTCCTGTCTTATATGACATGATATAGCACACGCTGACACAGTGCTGTATAGAATACCACCTACATGATGTTCATTTAGTCTGTTTCCAAAACATATTTATGGGTTTGGTGTAGGGATATCAATTACCTTTTAAGTAATTGTTTTGTATGGCTGCTCGTGGATTATTTACTGTATATTCATATGTCTGCATACAGTATGTAAGGGTTGTATTTTGTTTTATTCTTAACCCTCTTTAGCTGTGTCGTCCTTGGCATAGTAGATACTAATCACTTTATATCACAGGCTAGCAAGACCTCACTTAAGTGTTAGATGTGCATGCTCATTAGCGTACCTTTAAGAAGCCTTACAAGATGACTGCTGTTCACTGTGCCCTTTGTTACCTTGAATGGGTCTGAGGCTGTGGGTTCTCACGCAGGTCCGTGAAGTCTCCAACAAGATTCTGAGCACTCACAACGAGGATGTGGAGCATGACACGGTGTACACTCATCTTCTTGTCATATTCGGCCAGTGGACAGACCATGACCTGACATTCACACCCATGTCCCCCAGTATCCGCTCCTTCAGTAATGGCATCAACTGTGATGCCAGCTGTGATCAGGCCAGTCCTTGCTTTCCCATCCGGGTAATGAGCAAACTATTCTTTTTCATTCCAGTTCCATTTCTACCCTGTGCTTAATTTGAATAGTATGATAAATTTTCCTTTTAAACTGTTTCTCTGATGCTTACATTCACTCTATCATTTATCATTTCGTTAGCTGTAGGGAGAATCATACGAAAACCTGGAAATTCGTTTTTAACTCTGATTGGACTATTTGCAGGTTGCTTTGTTCATTCAGTGTTATAACCTGGTTCAGGGGCCTAGTTTCTAATCACTTTCTAAAAGAAATACACCAATGGGTCTTGTAGGATTATGTACTGGCCTTCACATCCCTACAATGGAAAAACCACAATCTGAAAGTTACGGGACTGATTTAGCTTCTTCTCTATTCACAGATCCCATCTAATGACACACGAATTCAGGACAGATCTGCCTGCATCCCCTTCTTCCGCTCAGCTCCAGCCTGTGGCACTGGTGACAATGGGTACGCGTTCGGAGCCCCCAATGTCCGCCAGCAGATAAATGCTCTCACTGCCTTCCTGGATGTGGGCCAAGTGTATGGCTCAGAGGAAAGCTTAGCAAAGACCCTGCGCAACCTCACCAATGACCTGGGCCTGCTTGCTGTCAACCAGGAGTTCACTGACAATGGGCGGGAGCTCCTCCCCTTCAAGACAATGTCCATCAACATGTGTGCCACCAGGAGGAAAGTCACTCAGAACAACAGCCTGCAGGAGATCCCTTGTTTCGTAGCAGGTAACTCTCCTTGGGGTTATTCTCAGAGCACATACAGTAGCCGATACCACAAGCAAGACGTGTTTCAAAAAGTAGCATCTGTTTAATTGTTGTGAAATTGAGTATTTTCAGTTTAAATCAGGTTACAAGATAATTAAACATACATAACAACATACAAAATAATTAACCATACATACAGACAAGACAACATTTTTTTACTTGCTTGACTGCTATACAAATCAAGATGAATACAAGTGTATTACTTTGCTAATTTGGCAAGAGTTGCATGTGGTACTGTTAAATGATGTCTGTGAACTTCTTAATTCTCCTCTTGATAGTGCACCAGGATGCCAGCAGTAATTTCATTCATGCCTGACTATGGCAGTGCCGTTTCTCTCACTGCAGGTGATGTGCGAGTGGATGAGAATATCGGCCTGACGTCTGTCCACACGCTATTTGTCCGGGAACACAACCGCCTGGCGCGGGCCCTCTCCAAACTCAACCCACACTGGAGTGGAGAGGAAATCTACCAGGTGGCCCGGAAAATCATGGGGGGTTATCACCAGGTACGGCACAACATGGAGGGGGAGAGTGAGTAAAACTGTGGGAGTGAATGAGTAATTCCATCCACCTCCCGTTTGTATTTCTTGTCTCTCTGCCTCAGCTTGTGTTTTTGTTGCTTTGCCTGCAGTTGTCTACTTTCTGCCCCCCTGCAGGTCATGACCCTCCGGGACTTTCTACCACATATTGTTGGTCCAGACACAATGGCTAGACTCCTGCCTGCATACACTGGCTATGACGAAGGCATAGATGCCAGTATTGCCAATGTCTTTGCCACAGCTGCATTCCGCTTTGCCCACCTCATGCTACAGCCTTTCATGTTCCGGCTGGATGAGAATTACAAAGAGCATCCACAGTTTCCCAGCGTCCTGCTGCACAATGCCATGTTCACACCCTGGAGGGTGGTGTTCGAAGGTATTATCCCTGTGTGCTCAACGCTAATTACTGGCTTATAATATATAGGACGGTGCATGCAATTTTGAGAGGTGGCTCTATAAGGATCTTTGTGTGTGGCCACCTGTTTATTGAGAAAGGCTGCAGAATGATGCACCGCTAGTCTGAGACTTGGGCATTCTAGGGGAGCGATATTCCATGCAAGGGAAAAGAGCTGGTAGGTTCATTGGCTTCTGTGAAAATTGGTCATTGTCAGAATGTGTGCGTGCCTGTGTGCTCTATAATGGATGTGCACCCATTGCTTGACAGAGTAGACTCTGGCTCCTGTAATGGATAAAATGGTTAGAAAATGGATGGATGGAAGTATATACAGCTGCAAATAATAATTAACGTAACTGGGTGAAAATGCACACTATTCTCCACTCCAAATGTTCTATGTGAGTAAATGATGCCAAACATTCTCACGAGTAGCTTCAGATTGTCCACATTTTTCATCATCATGCGTGCAGGAGGAATTGATCCACTTATCCGGGGTCTAGCTGGCCGCCCAGCCAAACTCAACACCCAGGAGCACATGATGCACGACGAACTGAGAGAGAGGCTCTTCCAGCTCACCAGCAGACTGGCCCTGGACTTGGGGTCTCTCAACATGCAGCGTGGGAGGGACCATGGCCTGCCTGGTGAGCCCCTTGCTCTAGGGACTGCTAGGGCAATCAACACAGACAATTGCACCATTCACAGGGATTCACATGGCTCTATTTTCTTTTTTCCTTTTCTTTGCTTTACACTGTTACATGGGTTTGCCAGGTTGATGGCTGTATAGAGCAGTAGCAACAGTTACAAAAACATTTTGCGGCAGAGCGGTGGCTCTGTAGCTAAAAATCTGTGCCTGTGGCTGGAAGCTTGCTGGTTCAAATCCCACAGCTGGCAGAGGAATCCTACTTTGTTGGGTCCCTGAGCAAGGCCCTTAACCCCAACTGCTCCAGAGGTGCTGTAGCTGACCAATGACCAATCCTGCTGGACTGGGGTTCTACTAGATCAAGAGCAACTGTGCTTTTAGAGTTACAGCCTGGTTAAACTGCATTTTTAATTTATTTAATGATTTATTCTCAGGTTTTACTTTGGGGTTTCAGATTGAGGTTAGGTTGCTGATTTAACATGTACGTACATGTGACATGTAACCTGTGCTTTCTGTATAGGGTACAATGCTTGGAGGAGATTTTGCGGCCTTTCAGACCCCAAGAATGCAAAACAGCTTGCTGGTGTGCTTAATAACAAGGACCTAGCAGACCGACTCCTTGAGCTGTATGGGACGCCCGAGAACATTGATGTCTGGCTGGGCGGCGTCTCAGAGCCCTTCGTCAAAGGGGGCCGTGTGGGGCCACTTTTCGCCTGCCTCATCGGCACACAGTTCCAGAAGATCCGAAATGGTGATAGGTAAGTTAAAAGAGAGAGGGAGGGAAGATAGTGCCTTTGTGGAGCTGAGTGGTACAAGAGTGTTATGCATGGGTGGAACACAAGACAACTGCCATTAGAGTCAAAATGCTCAACAGCATGGGAACACAGTGGATTTCTCAGTGGAGCACCGCTACGTGATCGACACACGTTATTCTTGGTACCTCCCGCCATCTCCCTTCGCTAAAAGCACACGTCTTTATAAAGAAAGCAGGGAATAAAGAGAGAGAGCAAAAAGAGGACAAGTACGGCAGTGAGAAAGAAAGAGAGTGGTCTGTGCCAGCTGGTGATGAAGGTGCAGTTTGCTCTTGCAGGCTCTGGTGGGAGAGGCCGGAGGTTTTCACCAGGAGGCAGCAGGAATCCCTGAGCCGCGTCTCCATGGCTCGTATCATCTGTGACAACACGGGGATCCGGGACGTCCCGCAGGACCCCTTCCTGTACCAGCCTCGTGGATCAGGCTACACCAGATGCTCCGAAATCCCCAAATTTGACCTCTCACCCTGGAAAGTGGCAGGTAGGTTACTACCCTCTCTGACTCACACCCTAGATCCGTTTCTTACTGAGTTTGCATAGACCCCCTGGATCAAGAACGTTTTCAGAGTCATTCCTCTTTCAACCTGACGAGCAGGGGCATTTTAACACACCTGTTTGTTATTCCTGGGATTTCCATGATTTTTGTCTATTAATGAAATACTAGAATCAGTCATAATTCCTCTCTGGTATACCTCTATTTGGAATAAGCAGTGAGATTAAGTTGAGCTCTTGTACCCTGTCCAGACCATGTGACTTGGAAAAGATAGGATAGTTTAGTAACATGGTGTAGACAGGTGAGAGAATGTTTGTTGGACTACTCAGTTCCAGCTTTGAATAACAGAGGGTAGTTACCGGTCCATGTTGGAGTGCTGGAAAATGTAGAGTATAATTAGGACACCAGAAAGGAACCAGTTTTATTAACAACTCTCTCTCTCTCTCTCTCTCTCTCTCTCTCTCTCTCTCTCTCTCTCTCTCTCTGTTAAGTAACCGCTGCATAAAAAATGTCAATCTGACACAGCAAGACCAGGACAACCAGGTAAGAGGCTACAGAAAAGGTTGCATTAATGCATTAGCTCACAGGACTTATGATTTATTCTTTTGTTTCTGGGATGTTCATGTTGTCACAATTAAAGATTTAGCACACATGAAAATTTCCCTTAATAGTAGAGTATCATAACAGCAGTGTAATCTGAATTTAAATCTATGAGGTGCCAAGAGTCTAGGTGTTTTCTTGTGCTTTTGTCATGCTACAATACTTCATTAGCCCACCCTAAACCAGTGTATCATTCTTTTTGCCCCTGGAGCAGAGCAGACATCTATAGAATTAAAGCATTTATTATTTCATTATTGACAGAACTGTTCAAAGTTTGTGATTGTTTAACTTGTCACTGCATCATTACAGCTTTGTCTATCACATTATTATAAAGGAATGTGCATTTTGTGTTGCCTCTATCTCAGGCTTAGAAACCATTAAATTAAATTGTAGCAGGAAGATCCAATTAGCACATACTGTAGAATATCATCAAACTCCAAAAATGTCTTTGTAAAGGCCATTTCATGAAATGGCTATTAATCTCTTAAGAATATGATATCATAATAAATGTTATAAACAAAAGGATATTATTCACTGCACTAGTTTGTTATACTGTTAGTACTTAATTGATCTGAATATCCCATCCAGATATTTCTTGAATTAAACCTGGGTATCTGTTCTGAAAATCTTAGTAAGCAGTAGCTAGTTTGATACTCCTACACCACTTTGTGTAAAGAAATACCTCCTGTTTTTAGTTTTGAATGTGCTTTTGTTGATTGCCATATGTAAGAAAAAAACATTGTCTAATATAAGCTACACACTGTGTGATTTGACCGTAAACTGTGGTAAACTGTCCACGATTTATGAAAATGTATAAATCTAACAGGGTCTTCCCAAGCAAAGGTTACACACTGTATGACATGCCGAGCTTACTGAGTATTCATCCAATTAAATGGAAAACGTCAACTTGAGATGTGTAGGAGTCCACAAACCTAACTTCATGCAAAATGTTATTCTAAACACTGAGCAATGAGATGAATAGGAAAGAATGAGAACAGGTAAGCCTGCACGCGTATTACTGTATTATGCCTTCTAAACTTTTCTTCCACAAGTGGTGATGGAGTCTGTATCTATTTGCTGCACAGCAGTGATGTCTTCCCCTTTTACCCTATTAACAGCTTGTAGCCAGGAAGCAACAAATGGGAATCTGTGAGATCCTGCAGTGGAGCCTATTGATCTCCTTTCACCTTGCCCTTTTTGACAAAGTTTTTTTTAATTGTCATTTAATTCATTTTGCACTGAAGCACATTGTTAATCTAAATGACACACCTCTACACTGAGGTACTGAGCACCACATTTTAAGGGGAAGGGAGACTTTATTTTGCAGAGAATTGACTATGATCTGTAATACATTTCCGAGGTGATGGGTTTAAAAAATTATTCAAATGAAAGACTTTGATTAGTGTAAATACTATTCAGGGAATCATGTTTTACATACTATAAAACAGCTGGAAACTCAGCCTTCTCATTGCAGAGTTTTAATGAAATTTCATTTTTTAACAAGTACTTATAAATGATGACTTCTTATCTTCATAAAGGTCTTTTTCTGATTCAAAACATCCCTTGGTAACTGATTTAGATGATTCCTCTGACTGGGTGCTCTACAATCTGTGGTCTGAAGTCTGTCATGAATGAGAACATCTTTGTCTTTGTATTTATCAGGAATTGTAATGTGATTTAATTAGAGTAAGGTGGTTATGTGGGATTTCTTCCAAAACAGTGTTCCTATTTATTGTTTTGGTCAGTCAGACAACAGTAACCAAAGAAAAACTTTCCTTAGGATAGAAAACATACAAAAATTAAGCTTCCGAGGTGTACTGTTACATTCCTACTATAAAATTCCTAATAATGGTTTTCTAGTGTCCAAATGAAATATGTACCACAAGGAATTCTGAAGGGTTTGGAAACAGAAGCTAAAAAGCCAACCACCCCAGCACTGCCAGCTTCCCTTTTACAAAGTACTTCCTGTAACTGATCCTTAACACTCTTCAGGTTTGTCCTGGAGGGGTGTGAGGCTGCAGGTCTTAACACACTGTTTGGATCATTTCCAGTCTACAGTACAGCTGGAATCCAAGTAGGTTTATTCTAGCATTTAGGCTTTGTTAACTGTATGAAAGAATAAACATTTCAAACATACATATTTGAATCGCACATACAGTATCACATTATATTCTTTGTAATATGTTAGAAACTCTTGAGGGCCATTACATTTTTACGTTGTGGAACATGATGATATGTTATTTAAAAAATGTTTACTGTCTTTCTGGTAGTGCAATGCTTTGTTTTACTACGCTGATTCATGTTTTTGATTTATTTAATGTTTAAAAATACCAAAAAACAAAATATGTATTCAATCTGTAATGCCTAAGCATATACTGTATATTCGAAAATAAAGAAAGAAATGCAGCAAAATAAGATTCACAATGTCTCTATCCCTTTGTATTATGAAAAACTGCTGTGGAGACTGGAGTGGTATTTCAATGGATTGTAAAAATTGAACGCCATTGCTTTTCTTTTACTGCAGGAATACATTACAGATTTCAAGCCACAGTTTTTGTAAACTTTTTGTAAGCACTTTGATAACCTGAAGGGTTCATTTGGCTTTGTAGCCTTTTTTTTACATCTGTACGTGGGAGAAATGAGCAAAATACCACTGGGTGAGAAAACACCATCTAATGAAATACTGTCAATGCTTCTTCTGATACTCGGTAACTTGACAGTTATACTTCAAACACACCGTTAATATAAGGATCTTTAAAGGATCTTCTCCGTAGATTACAACATACGGTGTCCAGTAGACAATTTTGTAAAAACATCAAAGTGTGCCACTATACAGTAGGTTCCAGAGAAATCAGTTTTTAGAATGCGGGTTTAACATTAATGCAGATGTCATTCTGGTCATGAAAACAGAACTGGTTAATAAACAGGTCACATCGAGCTATTATAAGAGACAATGGGCATCATTTGGTAGATATATGCACTATTTTGGTACACATATTCATTTTGGCCCTGTGGCTCTTTCTGAACTATATCAACAACGTTGATGTACTTAATAAACTAGTAACATTTAGATAATACTGTAACGCTTACGGCCGACAGGCACTGTGTAAGAGCCGGCGTACCAGAGCAGGTGACGTCACCGCCCTTCCCTGTGATAGCAGGACCACAGCTACTGGGCTGTGGAGAGATCTCTCTTTAGCTCACGGGGCTGGGTCGCTGCAGAGAGACGCGGGAGTCCCGGGTTCGAGCCTCAGTCGGGATGGGGCCGACCTAATGCGGCAAGGGCGCCCGCCTGAGCCCCCGTTGCGTTACAATACACAAGCAGTAGTAGGAGATGTGACCGTAGACACAGTGACAAGTGAATAACAAAGGGAATAAACCGAGCATTGATCAGTGCAAAGGAACCCACAAAAGTAGTGAGAACATACAGTACAGTACACGATCCAGATCTTATGTCACGCATTCTGCACACACTCTCACAAACGCCGTCACATTCCCACGCGCACCCACTCAAACAGACGCTCACGCCGCAACTAATCTTCCTATCGCCTTTCTCTCCCGTCACTACTTTAACCCTCCTCTTTTCTCTTACCAGCGCTCCTTCTTTCGGTTTTGATCTCAGGGTTGACTCCTGGCCTCTCGCTTGTTTCCGACCTTGTTTGGACCAAATTTGGATTTGTTGTCTCGATTGAGCTTTCGCCTGCCCATCGGTTTTTGAGTATAAGGACTTGCGGTTTTTGTGACATTTTCTGTAAGGACTTCCCGCAACAGTGTGGGGGACTTCACCAACTTGAGCCCTGCACAGGTTTTTTTTTTTCTAGCATAATTGTTGCTAACGCTGATAGGTTGTTGAGAGCTTAAGCAGGCTCCACACCAAAGGGATCGGTTATTTTTATGGATTGTTCCGTCATCAATATAATATCAAGAAGCAATAAAAAACTAATTATTAACACCCCGGTTTTGTTAAACCGGGTAGAACCCACAGGCTTAAATGTGGTGATAATTTCTTAACTCTTGGGTTTGGAACCTACTGTTCTCAAACATTTTACTATC